ATTATATTATATTTTTATAATAATATAATATTATAGAATATAATAATAATAATATTATAATAATTATAATACACTTCCGTTTTGTGGAGTGAATTTGCAGCGTTTATATTTTGCAGTTGTTTTTATGTGTTTGTGTGTTTTTGAATATGCATCAGTCCCGTGTTGGAAGCATTTTGCCGTTTGGGGCACATGACGGCACAGTTGCCATAACAGACAACAATAAAACGCTCACAACCTCCAGGATCAGAATCTGATTTATTCAGTCCGACAAAACAACCAAACATACAGAATAAAGAGCACAATGGTAATATGTGAAGGTAACCTTGAGTTCACATACACACACACACACACACACACACACACACACACACACACACACACACACACACACACACACACACACACACACACACTTTATGGTGTTCGTACTCCATTTTGCTGGATCAGAGCTCTGGTTGGTCGTCTTTGTCTCAGCAGCTTCAGCCATGCTAACGGTCCCTCAGTGGAGGCTTCACACAGAGAGCTGCCATCTGTGGAGAGCAGGACGCTGCCAAAGCACACACACACACACACACACACACACACACACACACGGCCAACAATGTTCGCTGAAACACACAGATAGTAAATAATAAATTCAATAATATTATAAATGGATGTTTGAAATAAAACTGCTCACTAACAGGTTGTTTCCATATCGAGGCAGCTCAGGCTGTGATTGGTCAGGTGTGAAAGTGGGCGGAGTTTTACCTTTTCTCTCAAGCTCTGCAGCTTCAACCGTTCGGACCAACGAAGTGACAATCGTAGATACCGTAAAACTTCCAATAAAAGCAGGGTCCCTAACAGATGCAGGTCTCTTTTAAAAGCCTGGTGTGGCTACACGTTTTGACAAATAAACGCAGGTCTCCAATAGAGGCCTGGTCTGGATTTTATAGAATCGCGATGTTTAAAACCTCTTAAAACCCACCGGGTCGCCTGATTGAGCGAGTTTTAAGTCGTTTCAATTTCCTACACAAATATAAATGTTTAAACTTCTGTCAACATGAACATAATGAACATCATTAGATCAGTTATAGATTCTCCACAATTCAATCGTTCAATATATTTTACAAAAACTATCAACAACAAAGTTTAACGTTAATTAATTCTGAATTACAGGTAACATGGTAAACAAGAGAGACGGAAAAAAACCTCTGAAGCATCATAATCATCATGTTGCTGAACAAACCTCAAGAGAAGCAGAAGTTAGTTTAGTTTAGTTTAGTGCTAAAGGAATTAAAGGCCTGTCCCAAATAGAGGCCTGTCCCCAATAAAGGCCTGTCCCAAATAAAGGCCTGTCCCCAATAAAGGCCTGTCCCCAATAAAGGCAGGGGGAGTTCAGTGATTTAAGCAAATAAACGCCCGGGCTATTATTAGAAGTGTTACGATAATAAAGTTGTGTGTTTGTAATGAATCTTCGCTCGTGTCACTAACAGTGGCAGATTGATTGACGGGTGAACGTCGGGATGTTATTGGTTGAAATCAGTTAGTTCATGCTGACGTAAGCGCGCGTCACATTCAGTTTTACAGGAAGACACAATGATTGAATTTAATATAAAAATACAAATAAATGGAGTAAATGTTTTGGCACAGAATATATATATATATTATATATTATATAAATATGGAAACAATTTAACTGAGGAAGACTGAAATATTATAAAGAAGCCATTTTGAAACTCTGAGGTTAATGTTCACACCGACTGTAAACACAGTTTTTATCTGGCTTGTTGTCCGTCCTGCTCTCCCATAATGCCGCAGGGCAGTTTGAATTGTGTGTGTGTGTGTGTGTGTGTGTGCGTGTTGTTCATTCATGCTGCTGACTGTCTGTTTAAATCCTTAACACCATCAGGCCTCCAAATATCAAGATATCACAGCCTGACAGGATGCACACACACACACACACACACACACACACACACTGCAGTATGTGTGTGTGTGTGTGTGTGTGTGTGTGTGTTACACTGTCACAGACAGAGTGTATCCTCAGTGAGTGTGTGTGTGTGTGTGTTTTGCTGACGCTGTGATGGACCAACAGCTACCCCTGCTGACAGACAGGAGTCAGTGCGGGTGTCTTCAGCCTGCTGTACCCATAATGCCGCGGGGCGTGATGGCGGTCGCAGTCTGTTTGTGTCTGTGTGACTCAGCCTCAGTCAGACTGGAACATATTTCACACTCACACTTGAATCTGTGGCGATGGCTGGAGAACACAAACACACTGGAGTTAAACAGGAATCTGATTCACTGAAACCAACTCATATTGATTATTGGGGCCTCTTCAGCGCTCCTCTTCCTCTTCCTCAGTGTCTCCTCTACACCAGTGGTTCCTCCACTAGGGGTCGCCAAAGCTTCACGAGGCTTACGAGGCATTTCTGTGAAGAAAACTAAATGAAATTGTTATTTTTAAGATTATTATTGAAGCTATAAACTTTTAACTCGTTGTCCTGCGTTAGAAAAGTCTGCAGCTAAAAGAACGAGAACATCTGTATGATTGTTAATAAACATAATACAGACTGAGGTTTCTATAAATTGTATAAAAAGTTGCTGAAAATATCAGAAAAACTAACTTTTGATTCAATTCAATTCAATTTTATTTGTATAGCGCCAATTCATAACAGAAGTTATCTCAGGACACTTTTCAAATAGAGCAGGTCTAGACCGAACTCCTTATAACATTAATTACAGAGACCCAACAGTACCACCATGAGCAAGACCTTGGAGACAAGGGCAAGGGAAAAACTGCCTGTTAAAAGGCAGAAACCTAGGACAGATCCTCCGGCTCTAGGTGGGTGGTCGTCTGTCTCGACCAGTTGGGGTGAGAGAGAGAGAGAGAGAGAGAGAGAGAGAGAGAGAGAGAGAGAGAGAGAGGCAGAGAGAGAGAGAGCGAGAGGCAGAGAGCGAGAGAGCGAGAGACAGACAGACAGACAGGTGCACAGCAACAACAGTATTGGCAATGGCAGTCAAGCAGGACCATGGCAGGAGGCTCCACCAGGATCCATGAGAACCTGCGAGACGAGAAAGCACAAGAACTCCGGGGAAGAAGTGAAGTTAGTAACATGCATTAATGGGACATGAATGAGTGCAGAAAGAGAGAGGAAGAGAGTAGCTCAGTGCACCATGGGAAATCCCCCGATAGTCTAGGCCTATAGCAGCATAACTAAGGGATGGTTCAGGACTCACCTGATCCAGCCCTAACTATAAGCTTTATCAAAGAGGAATGTCTTAAGCCTACTCTTGAATGTGGTGAGGGTGTCTGCCTCCCGAACCACAACTGGAAGCTGGTTCCACAGGAGAGGAGCTTGGTAACTGAAGGCTCTGGCTCCTGTTCTACTTTTAGAGACTATAGGAACCACAAGTAGCCCAGCATTCAGAGAACATAGTGTTCTAGAGGGGTAATAGGGTACTATGAGCTCTTTAAGATATGAAGGGGCCTGACCATGAAGAGCTTTATAGGTGAGGAGGAGGATTTTAAATTCTATTCTACATTTTACAGGGAGCCAATGCAGAGAAGCTAGTACAGGAGAGATGTGATCTCTTTTTCTAGTTCCTGTCAGTACTCGTGCTGCAGCGTTCTGAATTAATTGGAGCATTTTAATGGACTTATTGGGGCAACCTGATAATAAAGAGTTGCAGTAATCCAGCCTTGAAGTAACAAATGCATGGATTAGTTTTTCTGCATCTGTCTGTGATAGGATGTGTCTAATTTTTCTAATATTACGTAAATGAAAGAAGGCGTCTCTAAGGTTTTTGGGGCCAAGAACAAGAATTTCGTTTTTTTCTGAGTTTAGCATCAGAAAATTGCAGCTCATCCAACATTTTATGTCCTTAAGACATGTTTGTAATTTAGATAATTGATTAATTTCATGGGTTTGATTGATAGATATAACTGCGTATCATCTGCATAACAGTGAAAGTTAATGGAGTGATTCCTAATAATGTTGCCTAAAGGGAGCATATATATATAGTAAATAGTATTGGTCCAAGTACAGAACCTTGTGGAACTCCATGACTAACTATAGTATTTATTGAAGATTCATCGTTAACATGTACAAACTGCGAATGATCTGATAAATATGACTTAAACCAGCTTAGTGCGGTTCCTTTAATGCCAGTTTGATGCTCAAGACTCTCTAAAAGAATATTATGGTCAATGATCAACATTTACAGGAAATAAACTGCTCAGAATTCATCCAAATCTCTGGTTTTACACAAACTTCCTGCAGAGTTCACTGTTTGAGTTTGTTGAGTTTAATATGAAATATGTCACCAGTGAGGAGTCGTCTGTTTACTCAATGATAATGAGTTAATCAGTTCATTTTATTAAAAAAAACTAATTATATCAAAACATTTTAAGTAAAACAAACTAAATGTCTAAAGGCATAAAAATCTAAATCAAATTACAAAAATAGCCCCTACATGTCTAATAAAATATATAAAATCACATTGAAAAATAAATCAATAATTTCTTTGCAAATATTTTTTACAGTTTAATACTGTTAAAGATTCTGTGTAATCTGTATTAAAGACCCCAGATTCTACCATAATGAAATAAATTAAAACTCTATGTATTGTTAGAAAACAATTTTAATTATTTTAAGTCTTTAATTTAACATTTTTAATGGGTTATTTTATTTTCACCAAACTTTATTTAAAACAATAAAGTGTAACTTACAATTTTTAATTTTATTATTTTCAGACACTTAATCATTATTTTGACAGTTTCTCATTTTAATAATCTACAGAATCTTTTTTGGCACAAACGAGCTTCCGTAGAAAAGGAACGGCAGCAGTTACACAAAATAAAACAAAAAACCAGCACAAGTCTGATAAAATACTTATTTTATAAAACCTTTTAAAATCACAGACTCTTTTATGGCTCATTAATGAATTGATTCACTTTAATTCTCCACGTTTCCACTCAGGCACCGCGCGGACGGCTACAAGCTGTCAAACCGCGGGGTCCTCCCGGGTCCTTCCTGCCCTGAGCCGCTGCGCCAGCCTCCTCTCACCAACCGACCACCGGCGGAAAAACCGTTAAATCAACCGGAAATCTTCGTCCTACCGAGCGGGTCGCGGTCGGTATGATGGGCGGGAAGAGCAGCGCGCTGGCCGCGGGGGTTTGCGGGGCTCTGCTCGTCGGTTACTGCATCTACTTCGACCGGAAGAGACGGAGTGACCCCAACTTCAAGAACAGGCTGCGAGAACGTGAGTGTTGACCTCCTCCTCTTCCTCCTCCTCCTCCTCCTCCTCCTCACCTGCAGCAGGCCTGTGAGCTCCGGTACGGTACGGTGCGGGTCGGATCGGTTCGGTTTGGAGGTTGTGTCGTTGTTAGCTCGCGTTAAAGGTTCTGTAGTCCCGGTTCAACCCGGTTTGGCTCGGCGGTTGAAGCGCTCTCGCCGAACTCCATTCAGTTTTTATACATTTTAACGTCCTCTCGGTAAATGATCAATAAACACTCTCTGCGGCGCGTTTTAACGACCTCACACGAGTCAACAAGGTCTTCGGGTGTATTCGGGGGGAATCGAACAACAGAACAGCTCCAGTTAAAGGAAAATGCCACGTTTATTTTAATTCTATCCGTTTTTACAGAGTTCAGCTGAGCTCTTCCCTCATCTCTTAAAGGGATGAATATTAGATGTGAGTGTTGAATGTGACCTGGATGTGTGTTGATGGTAAATGACCCACAGTAACAGGTACAGTGGAGGTAACGCCGACCCACAATGCCTTGCAGAGAGTACAGTACTTCATTATAATGCTGTTTGTCACATCTGACCTCCATCAGTGACAATGTAAAGCTGCAGTAGGTCACTTTAATTCATTAATATATATATATATATATTTATTTAGAGGAATCCTCGGGCTGAATGAGGAGCTGCTGCAGTGGATGTGTTGATGTACACAAACTGAAGAGTCTCTGCTGTTAGAAAGGTCGTGTTAAACCAACAGATTTTATAGTGGACTCTGGTGTGACTTCAGTTTGTCCTGGGGGGGGGGTTACTGTTTGTGTTCAACATACAATAAATAAATAGATACTGGTTGATATTATACTGTAGTGTGGTGTTATTAATTCATATTACTTTATTATGATAATGTTTTTTACATGATAGAATTATTATCACTATAATATTAACACACACACACACACACACACGTATAATATAATGTTTGTGTTCAGTCTGCTGTTGCTCTGAAGGTTTTGTGTGTCTGTTGCAGGGAGGAGGAAGCAGAAGGCGGCCAAAGAGCGAGCCGGCATGGCAAAGGTGAGCTCTTCTTCTTCCCGCCGTTCGCTGCGTCTCCAAAGGTTTTACTTTAATCTTCTCCGTCCTCGTGGGCGCGAGCTAGATCCTCCTGTCTGCTGCAATAAGTGTAGATTACAGGTGGTTGCTGCCCTCTGGTGGTCGGGGGCTTTAATATAACTGGTTACATAATAAAGTAATTACTTTTTAGAGAAGTAACTGTAACTAATTCTTCATTATTGCCCAACACTGAATCTAACAACACCAGTTTAGAACCGGTTCCAACTTAATGGAGCCACTTTCTATCAAACTGACTATATTCTATAGATATTTCCTATAGTGTTCAATAATAACAATAACAGCAGCTGATCAATAACTGATCAATAACTGATCAATAACAGCAGGAAGTTTGTGTAAAACTCTTCCAGCTCGTCTCACCTGTCGTTTGTCCCGCAGCTCCCGGACCTGAAGGACGCTGAAGCGGTGCAGAAGTTCTTCCTGGAGGAGATCCAGCTGGGGGAGGAGCTGCTGGCTCAGGGTAACGTCTGGTTTCATTGGTTCTGGTTCTGGTTCTGGTTCCGGTGGCGGTTCTGTGGAGTCTCTGAGCGTCTGTATGTTTGTGCTTCGCCCTGCAGGAGACTATGAGAAAGGCGTGGACCACCTGACCAACGCCATCGCGGTGTGCGGTCAGCCTCAGCAGCTGCTGCAGGTGCTGCAGCAGACGCTGCCGCCGCCCGTCTTCCAGATGCTGCTCACCAAACTGCCCAGCATCAGCCAGGTAAACCCGCTGGTTGGTTGTCAGGCTTCCTGAGCTCCGCCCATAACACAACAATAACAACAACATTTAAAAATCACACAGTAAACAAAAGAGTAGGACAGCGCTCCAGTTTGAGTTTTTAATATCTCCACACGGACGGTTCAGGCAAAAGAACCAGAATCTCAGACCTTAAACAACGAGAGCGACGACCCACCAGACTCCACTGACAAAACTAGTAATTATAGCGAGCAGCCAGATAATCGTAAAACATATTCAAAGTGGACAGAAACAGAATAAACTCATTAAAGCGTCTCTGTTAGTGTTTCCAACAATCACCAACTCTGGTTTGGTGGAAATAAATCCTTAATTCACCGACGTAGACGATAAAAACAGCAGTTTCAGTCGGAGCAGACCGGCTATGGAAACAAACCACAGAGAGGCTGCGATACAACACAGGCAGAGGGAGAGAGACACCATGTGACTCTGTGTATAGAGAATATAATGTTAGCTGATGTATTAATGTTTATAATATATAAACTGTGTTTTCTGCTCCTGCAGCGCATCGTGAGCGCACAGAGTCTGAGCGAGGACGATATAGAATGAGAGGATGAAGAGGAAACGACCCCCCCACCCTCTTCCTCACGTGGACTTCCTCCTCCCGTTAACGACCTGCCAACGCCTCGGCCTCCATCGCTCCGGCCGACGTCCATCACCTCCCATCAAGGCGTCCAAAAGGGAACTTTGTGTTCCTGGTTTATCCATGACAGTAGTGTTTGTTTTTTTTACTCAACTTACCCGTTCTGGGGGTATCACCGAGGATCAGCCCGCCACCAGGTACCGGGTGAACACATTAATCGGCTCCTACCGTCGGGGCGGCGTTAGCTCACACCCCGACAGCGTCACGGTTTACACTGTTTGTACCGACCGCCTCCGTGGTTACCGTGGTTACCGTGATATCAGTAGAAAGTTACCGGATGCTTCATACAGTATTTATTGTTTTCTGTTCGGTCTAGACTTTGGAAACACTTTTTAAAAAGTGATGAAATGTTCTCAGTCCATTTCAAAGAGGAAACGTCCTCTTTAGGAAAAATAAAAAAACGTGAACAAACTCTGAGGTTGTGTTGACTTTATTTTACGTGATGTTGGTGAAGAGTCAGAGACTGTAAATGGACCTCGGAGGGTCGTGAAGTTCTGGCCGTCGCCATCTTGGCAGTCTGATACAAAACTTTAATCCTTAATATAATTTAAACAGGTGAGTTGTCATGAATGGGGAAATTATCTCTGGAGACCAAAAGGCTGTAAACAAGTTTAATATGAGGCCTTATGGAGACTCACTGATGGAGCCTCTAGTGGCCGTTAGAGGAACTGCAGGTTCATAGTGAAGACACTAGACAGTGAACGTAACTGGCGGCCCGCGGGCCACATCTGGCCCGCCAGAATATTACTGAGTTCAGGAATAGCCTAGTGAAGAGGGAAAGGTATGTTTCTATATTTATTTATTTTTAAATCCAATGAAAGAAAGCCTGTGCCACAACCTGCCTTCAATCAACAATGACAATAAACTCTTTTATTGTTTCATGTGCTCATTTTATTTATAGTCGTTATTCACAACGGTGCCAGAGCAGCCACCATGCACTCCTTAAAAACCTCAGCATTGGTAAATGGCTTGTTGTGCCTGCAGAGACGCTCTCGTTCTCTGCATCAACTTTACGCTTAAGGCTCTTTGAGTGCCATTTTTAATGCTTGAAAGATATTCAGAAGGCCTTTCTTCTTCTAGTGTTCTCCACAAACTACAACCTGCATGTGACAGTGATTATGAAGCTTAAAATATCCCTATCGCCCCCTGGTGGCTTTCTGCAGTACAGGTAATATGAGAGTGCTCACACTGACAGAGGATAAAAAATAACATTCAGATACAATTTTAATTTTATTTTATTTTACGAGCATCCGGCCCTCATTTGGAGCTAACGGTCCAAATAAAATATAGGAACATTGCAGATAGTAACGTTATTCTAAATATGATTGTCAGTTATTTTACAGCGTTCAGTGTTTGTGTTGGTCGATGTTGACTGCAGTTCACTGAACGGCCACTGGTGGCGCTGTTAGCTACAGTTTAATGACATATAGAAGCTTTAATGTGTATTTTAACACAATATAATCCACAGAAAGATAAAAAGTTGTGTATTCTTTATTGAGTTTTGCTGCTGTGGAAGAAAATAGTTTACAGACAACATGTAACTGACGGTGGAACAGTGGAAACCTGCTGTTCGGTTCAGAGTCACTTTTATTTCTGTAAGATGTCGCTCAGATGTGAACAGTCTTGTTTGGCTTCTGTTTCTTCTTCAGTCCTTTCTTTTTAGTCTTTTTGTTCGGATCCACCATTGTTCCTTTGAAGGAGCCTTTGGTCGTCCTCTGCTGGGTTCCCGAGAATTTATTTTGAGGCTTGAAACCTCCGCGACCGCCTCCTCTCTCGCGCCCCGGGCCCTTCGGAGGGGTCTTGCCGCCGGGGCCCCTGCCGCCGGGGCCCCTGCCGCCGGGGCCCCTGCCGCCGGCCCTCCCTGCGCCTCCTTTGCTGTCACTTTTACTCTTCTTCTGCTTCTCCTTCTTCACCGACCTCTTCACTCGGATGGACCTGCCCTCCAGTTTGGAGCCGTCCAGTTCCAACGCCAGCTGCACCGAGTCGGGGCTCTGCAACGAACGGGCACAAACAGCTTTAGTGGAGGTCAAAGGTCACAGCTCCTTCAGAACTCGAGCTAAAGAGGAAAGCAGGATTTGAGTACCTCGAACAGGACGTAGCCGAATCCTTTCCCCAGTCCGGAGTTCTGGTCTCGTACCAGCCGTACGGCCTCCACGGCGCCGCACTGCTCAAAATGCTGCCGGAAAGCCAGTTCGTTGATCTCTAAAAGAAGAAGAGTCGGTTAACGTCAACACAGAACGACAGTTACACTCGACATCAACGGTAGCAACGAAGTTACTCACCGAACGACAGATTCCCCACAAATACAGAGCGTTTGTGATCGTGCTGCAAGACAACAACAACAACAACATCAACAACAACAACAACGTCACCAAATGGAACAAAAACTGTCAACAGATGTGAAATGAATTCCTGATATTAATGTGTTTACTGTAACAACGGGCAGTAAACAGAGCTGAGTGTGTATCACAGCGTCTACCTTCCAGTGACCACAGCCGGACCCGGGATCTAATCTCTGAGACCGACGGTGCCGGTCGGAGGCTGTGTTCGATCCCGGTCCGGCTGCCGTGCCCGGTTCTGTCAGATACAGTTAGCAGCAGCTAGTTAAATTAAGAAAATACCTGAAACACTTTTCTGTCTGAAGGAGACATTCAACAGACAGATGAGATAAAAACACTCACTGTTGAGTTGTCCGTCACTCTGTCCACTCGGATGTGGAAGTCTTTCTCGATCTCTGTGCCGTTCCTGTGAGCAGACAAACAGAACATCAGCTTTACTGACGGTTAAACTCACAGAGCCACTTCCCGTTGGTGGGAATCAGTTAACGAGGGTCTGACCTCTCCAGCGCCCTCGTCACTCCTTCCTCGTCTTTAAACACCACGTAGGCGTTCATGCTTTGCTTTTTGGGATGAACTTTGCGCCTGAGAAGAAGAAAACACCACGTAGAGTTGAAGCATTCAGTTCGTCAGTTCCAGCGACTCTTCAACAGAACGGACGCGGGCAGAAACTTACTGAATGACTGCCACTTTGCGGGACATGGAGGGATCCTCTCTGACCTGCGGGGATCGGAGGACAAGACCATTTGTGTCACTGACCAACGGACGCTGCGGTAGCTTGACAGTTACAGAGAGAGCTCGCACAGCTTCTTCATCACTGTGGTTCTCAAACATTAAGGGTCACCAAAGCTTTCATGGCGGGTCGTGACCTTCTGGACTTTAAGGTGCGGAAGAAAACTAAATGAAAACAGCATTTTGTTCACTTCTGTGATGTAAAGTCAATATAAAGTAAATTGTCAGGAAAGAAAACGTTTAAGTCTGTATGACTGAATCAAACACAGACAGATAATTGTGTCTGTTTTATAAAGCAGTTTACTAAATGAAACTAAAGGTTGGGAACTCGTGTTTTATTGATTGAAACGACGATGAGGAGTAGCCATCACGACTTTCTGCTGCCAAGTTGAGTTTTGTGATGAAGAGTTATTTATTCCGTGTTTCTTTAACAGTGAGCCGCTACGAGCTGAAGCTGTGTGTGTGTTTACCACTGAGCGAAACCGGATGGAGTCGATGGATCCTTTATCCCTGAAGAGGCTCTGCAGCGTCTGAAACACACAGATAATAAAGTTCTTCCTCTCCGACATTCACTGGAATCAGCTGGTAACAAATCAGGTTAGCTATATTAAAATATATATAGATATATATTAAAATGTTTTAAGTTACAACCACTCGTTGATGAAAACATAAAAACATCTGGATCCTTTAATAAGTCCAGCTGATGGTTCTGATGGTTCTGATGGTTCATTATTTCGGTTCCGTACCTTCTTGGTGCAGCCGACGGGCAGGTTCCCTACGAACACCGTCCTCTTCCTCTTCGTGGCCTCCTCCTCCTTCCTGGCTCTCAGCCTCTGTCTCTTTATCACCCACTGCTCCACGTCGTTCTCTCCGCTCGGCTCCGGAGCTTTCCTCTTCTTCTTCTTCTTCTTCCCCCCGGGCGTCTCCTCGTCTCCGTCGGCGTTCAGTAAACCGAGCTCCCTGAAACCGCCGACAACGAGGACGAAGAGAAACACGATTTTAATGGTAAAACCTTCAGGAATAATAAGAATCTCTCTGAGGATGGACTCACCTGTTCTCCAGCTTCTGCTCGGCTTCTGATTTCTCTTTAACAGACTTCTTCTTCGAGGTGGGTTGACCTTTGACCCCTTCCTTTTCCTTCTGCTCCTCCTTTGGTTCTGGGCTCTTCTGAACAGGCTGACGATGAAACAACAGGACACGCTGACATTCTGGATCTGAGCCTCACAATATAAAACACCTCAGAGCAGCACTGAAGCACTCAATGACACTTTATATAGAACAGACAGACAGACTCCTGGTCCTGTCTGTCTGTCTGTCTGTCTGTCTGTCTGTCCCTCTGTCCGTCTGTCTGTCTGTCTGTCTGTCTCTCTGTCTGTCTGTCTGTCTGTCTCTCCCTCTGTCTGTCTGTCTCTCTCTCCCTCTGTCTGTCTGTCTGTCTCTCTCTCCCTCTGTCTGTCTGTCTGTCTCTCTCTCCCTCTGTCTGTCTGTCTGTCTGTCTCTCCCTCTGTCTGTCTGTCTGTCTGTCAGTCTGTCTGTCTGTCTGTCAGTCTGTCTGTCTGTCTGTCTGTCTGTCTGTCCCTCTGTCCCTCTGTCTGTCTGTCTGTCCCCCTCTGTCTGTCTGTCTGTCTCTCTCTCCTTTACCTAGGAGCAGGGGGACAGTAGTCTGTCTGTCTGTCTGTCTGTCTGTCTCTCCCTCCTTGTGGAACATAGTCTGTCTGTCTGTCTCTCTCCCCCCTTTACCTGAGGAGCAGGGTGAACAGTAGTCTGTCTGTCTGTCTGCCCCCCTTTACCTGAGGAGCAGGGTGAACAGTAGTCTGTCTGTCTCTGTCTGTCTCTCTCCTTTACCTGAGAGCAGGGTGAACAGTAGTCTGTCTGTCTGTCTCTCTCTCCCCCTTACCTGAGGAGCAGGGTGAACAGTAGTCTGTCTGTCTGTCTCTCTCCCTTTACCTGAGGAGCAGGGTGGAACAGTAGTCTGTCTGTCTGTCTGTCTGTCTGTCTGTCTGTCTGTCCTTTACCTGAGGAGCAGGGTGGAACAGTAGTCTGTCTGTCTGTCTGTCTGTCTGTCTGTCCTTTACCTGAGGAGCAGGGTGGAACAGTAGTCTGTCTGTCTGTCTCCCCCTTTACCTGAGGAGCAGGGAACAGTAGTCTGTCTGTCTGTCTGCCCCCTTTACCTGAGGAGCAGGGTGGAACAGTAGTCTGTCTGTCTGTCTGTCTGTCTCTCCTTTACCTGAGGAGCAGGGTGGAACAGTAGTCTGTCTGTCTGTCTGTCTCTCTCTCCTTTACCTGAGGAGCAGGGTGGAACAGTAGTCTGTCTGTCTGTCTGTCTGTCCCCCTTTACCTGAGGAGCAGGGTGGAACAGTAGTCTGTCTGTCTGTCTGTCTGTCTGTCTGTCTGTCTGTCCTTTACCTGAGGAGCAGGGTGGAACAGTAGTCTGTCTGTCTGTCTGTCTGTCTGTCTGTCTGTCCTGTCCTGTGGAGCAGGGAACAGTAGTCTGTCTGTCTGTCTGTCTGTCTGTCTGTCTCTCCTTTACCTGAGGAGCAGGGTGGAACAGTAGGGCAGTCGGCGCTGTGGTTCTGAATAAAGCCGACAGTGACGATCCGGAGGCTGCAGAGTTCTTCTGGAACAAACTTCCTGACACCTGACCCACCACGTAGTCAGCTGACTGTTGCCCCGGAGACGCCTCCTCCTCCTCCTCCTCGCCACTGAGGACACAAACTGTCATTATTGATCAGAATACACTGTATCTTTATTGATTATTGATCAGAATACTATACACTGTATCTTTATTGATTATTGATCAGAATACTATACACTGTATCTTTATTGATTATTGATCAGAATACTATACACTGTATCTTTATTGATTATTGATCAGTATACACTGCATCTTTATTGATTATCAGAACACTACTAGTATCTTTATTGATCAGTATACACTATCTTTATTGATTATTGATCAGTATACACTGTATCTTTATTGATGATATTGATCAGTATACACTGTATCTTTATGGATATATTGATCAGTATACACTGTATCTTTATGGATGATATTGATCAGTATACACTGTATCTTTATGGATGATATATTATACACTTATCTTTATGGATGATATTGATCAGTATACACTGTATCTTTATGGATGATATTGATCAGTATACACTGTATCTTTATGGATGATATTGATCCTGTATTGACAGTCAGACTGTGGACATATGACGGCCTTTAGCTCGTGTTTCTAGAGTTACGTGTTGTTACGAACACGTTAGGAATTGTTAAAATGTGATATTTCTTAAAGGGAGTTTGGTGCAGGGAGCTTTTAGTTGGATTCAAACTGCTGATATGGATCATTGTTAACGTTTAGTCTCCACTACAGAAACACTAGCTGACTGCTGAAGTTACGCTCTAATAATGTGAGTATTGATTACTTTGATATAAATTAAATATAAATGTGTAAACAAACCTCTGGTCGCGTTTCTTCTTCATGGTGTTTTCACGGATTCGTCCGTCGTCACTCCACTTCCGGACTGTTCTTTAATCTGAGATCAGTTCTTTATCCGGTAAACTGCAGCATTCACACGAACTTCTACAAATTAAACTCCAATAACATGAAAGTTAAAACACGTTCACACGCTTTCCTCCCAGCACACGTGTGTCCTACTGCGAATTACCCCCCACAGGAAACACGGTCACAGCGGCACAAAGGTTCCCCCTTATTTTCTTCTTTTTCCGAGTTATGTTGATTTAACTAAACTTTCACAGACTAAACGATTTAATCCGCAAAAATACTTGTACATCCCACAAAAAACATATTTATCTTCAGTTTTATTTTGAAATGTTTCGTGAGAAAGGAGTGCAACTTCTAAATGTGTCGGTTCCGGTGAGGCGGAGAAATGTTTTGGTTCGGGAGCTAACAGCTAACAGCTAACTCCAGAAGCTCCGTCTTTAAACGTCTCCGGTAATAATGTGCCTCTGATTTCAGATCAGTTGTTGTTGTAAGTGTTTTTAACCGACGGGAGTTAATGACACTAAACTTACTGTAACTATATTTATATATTTATATGTGTTTATGTTATAACGAGCTACAGACAGTGAGCTACAGACTCTCTCCAGCACCAGACAGGAGGCAACAACCCGGGTAGTTAGTTTGTTAACAGCCGGAAAACCTCCTCCGATGCCGACACACACATAATAAACGGTGGATTAACAGCGTTATGAGTCGGTGTTTAATTCGGCTTTAATCTGATCCACCAACCATTTTATTTTACTGAGAAATGTTAGTTATTGAAACGATCCGCCCTCTCTTTCCCGCGGTCCTCACTCACTGAAAGTCTGCAGCTACAACAGAGGCTGAGCCCGCTAAAGAGACTAAATGTAAAGTTTGTACAGTATACACTGTATCTTTATTGATTATATTGATTCCGTATTGACAGTCATACTGTGGACATATGACGGCCTTTAGCTCGTGTTTCTAGAGTTACGTGTTGTTACGAACACGTTAGGAATTGTTAAAATGTGATATTTCTTAAAGGGAGTTTGGTGCAGGGAGCTTTTAGTTGGATTCAAACTGCTGATATGGATCATTGTTAACGTTTAGTCTCCACTACAGAATCACACTCTGTTAGAAATGTACAGTTTGTGTCTCCAGCATTTAGAAATATGTTGAACAATTAGAACAGTTAGCATGAATAAGAATAATTAGTTATATTATAATATTTCAGTGGAGAGGATTTGGGGGGATATGGAGGGCGTCCAATCAATTTCTGACATTTTCAATACAAAATAACCTTTTAAACTGGATTATTTCAACTCCTTGTAGGCTGGTTTTTATTCATTTTGAGTTTATTGACTTGAGGTTATTTATATAATTAATACATAAGACACTAACGACAAAATGCCAAAAAGAAATCATCATTTTAAAACAAGACTAACAGATAAACAAGAACAAACATTTATGAAGTAAAAGATGCTTCTGAACAATAAAATGATTTCCTCGGGCAGAACTGACCTCTGCCCCGAGGATCTGGAGGTCTGAGATACAGCAGGGGGAGAGACCACGTAGAGCCAGAGTACGGAGGCTGAAACTGGAGTGATGTGATCATAGTTCTTGGTTTCTAGTTAAAAACCAGGCGGCTGAGTTCTGTACAGTCTGGAGTGGATCAATAGATTTTATAGATCCCAACATAAAGCAAGAAATATTACGTCTGAACATTCACACTAATGACATTAAGCTTTCTTGAATCTTAAATGCAGGTCTAATGTATTAAGTTATTATAAATAACCTCAAAATCAACTCCTAATGAGTGAATTAAAATCAGCCCAGTGAGAATTGAAATGTGTAATAATAATATAACAATGTCAGGAATGGATTCAGCGTCCTCAATAACCCCAAAACCTCTCCTATATTGTCCAAATCAGCCAAGTAAAGATCCATATAACTGATTATTAATGCTAATTATGCTCATTCTCCAACATATGAAAGGAATAATGTGGGAAATACTGTCAGACTGTTTATTTAAAGCAGAATAAATATTAGAATAACATCTGAATCAGGAATCATTCATTAGATTATTTGATTCTTTGGTGTTCATGTTGTCTGTATTTCATAATAAAGCTGTTATTATAATATTAATATAATTATATATATAATTAATATAATATTATATTATTATTATATAAGAAGACATAAAGGCTGAAGAATATGTGACACTCGCTGTGTTAACCATTAAAACTGATTCCCACGTGAACTCTCTGATCCCGGTTTTCTCTCCTCGGCAGGAGGCCTCGATGGGAGTCGACCAGACGGAGCCGGAGGTGCCGGCGGACGCGGTGGGGAGGCGGGTGTCCTGCGGCGGGGAGCGGGCCACAGTACGGTACGTGGGCCCGGTGCCACCGACAGCAGGTAAGAGCCCGAGTGTGTCAGATTCACAAACATCCTGGAAACACCTGGAAATGGATTAAAATGAGCAAATATCCTGGAAATCGATGTTGTCCTGGGAATGTTTCTTGTATTTTAGCCTGTTGAGGAAAAATCAGCAACGCCGTAAAACAGCACGCTAACACGTGTCCCTGAAACTATGACCACCATTTTCAGAAAGGGCTGTCCTTGATTGTCAAGAAAACAATCTAGAAAGATCCTGGAAAGATCCTGGAAAGATCCTGGAAAACGATTTCTTAAAAAGAGCGGGAACTAGGGTTGAGCAGTATGTTTAAATTTTCCTTTTCCTGCCGTGTCTTCATCTTCCCCGGAGTCAGAGTCTTGGTTGGAGCCATCAAACTACTGGAAGTAAAGAGTCAATTGGCTGCAGTTCGTTGTGAAGATGTTTCCCCCATACAGGAGAAAATACCTCATTTTATTTGTTTATTTTATTTTAAGTGTTGAAATAATCAAAAATAATCCGGTGTTCTTCTGCCTCCCCGTTAACCAAATGTTCGTGGTGTGTTCAGGGCTTTGGCTCGGAGTCGAGTGGGATAATCCAGAGAGAGGCAAACACGACGGCAGCCACGACGGAGTCCAGTATTTTACGTGCAGGTAATTCTCAGCAGTCGGAGGTCGCTCATCATCGAGACGAAGATCCTCTAGAGGATTAAAAGACACATTCAAGTTTAGTGTTTAGTTTAAATGTTTGTTTGTCAGTTTTATCTTGTGGCACATTGTCTAAGGGCAGTGTAGTTCCTGTGCTTGGCCTCTGGAAGGCAGTGTAGTTCCTGTGGTTGGCCTCTGGAGGGCAGTGTAGTTCCTGTGGTTGGCCTCTGGAGGGCAGTGTAGCTCTTACAGTGTTTAACAGAGAAAGAATGATGTTTAAAATGAGGCTGATGGGTTCCCGCTCTCTCAGACACCCTAAAGGAGGCTCCTTCGTGCGGCCGGCGAAGGTGAGCTACGGAGTGGACTACCTGACCGCCGTGCAGCAGGAGTACCAGATCGACTCCGAGGAGGTGCTGCGTGAGGAGATCTCCATCTCCTCTAAGAAGCTCAAATGGTTGGCAGTGGAGGAGCGCAGGTAACAAACAATCCTCAAACAATCCTTTATTACTTCCTCCATGTAGCACTGGTTTCTCTAACAGTAAGACACTTTGATATCTCACAACATTTAAAAGAAAGAAGTAGTTTTTATATATTACTGTAAGACTGTAAACCATCATCACAGCGTTCATATAACAACTTATGGTAAAAACTTTATTGTAATAAATACAGTAGATTCTGCTATTACAGTAAAATTATATTAGTTTAGTTGAGTTTTAATCTGTATATTATATTATTATTATTATAATATAATACGTTCTGTGTGTGGACAGTTTGGAGACTCTTCCATCGGTGTTGCTGACTCGCTCTGATGTGAACGGACCCGGAGCTGACGGAGAAATCAGGAAAACAACACCAAGTATCTTTTTACACTGACAGCGTGGAGGACACGCCCCCCCACAGTCACTGTCCTTTGCAGGTCTCTGGTGTATTTTGTATATTTGTTATATTTGAGGTGGGGGGGGAGTTGACGGGGGCGGTTACACTTTAACAGCAGCGATCAGACGTGCAGTGGTTGGACCTCAGTGGGACTCTGCTGTCCTGCTGGGAGGACGTCAGCGCCATCAGCCAGCAGCTGGACCAACTGAACGGACTACAGCTCAGGTACCCTGTGTGTGTGTGTGTGTGTGTGTGTGTGTGTGTGTGTGTGTGTGTGTCCTCTGAACTTCTTCTTCTTTTATCTTTTAGCAACAACAGGCTGCGTTTCCCCTCCGACCCCTCGGCTCACCTCCAGGCGTTCGGCAGCCTCAGAGTCCTCGTCCTCAACAGCTGCGACCTCACCTGGCCGCAGGTACGCTCCCTCTTACCAACAAATCACTGACAGTTTGTTAAGTGTTGATACATTTCACAATAAAAGTCCAGACTAACGACTTCCTCTCCCTGTGAACTCTTCTGTATCTGTGCTGGTCTGGGGTCAGATCCTGGAGTGCGCCCCCATGTGGCCTCAGCTGGAGGATCTGTCAGTGCAGGAGAACAACATCACGGAGCTGCAGAGGTAACGTTGGTTGTGTTTCCCCTCGCTGACGTTCAGGCTGCGCAGACTTTGTCTAACTGGCGTCTCTGTGATGTTTTGAAGGCCCGACGGAGTCCTGCAGTCCCTGAAGAGTCTCAGTCTGTCCTCCAATCCTCTAGTGCAGGAGACTGTGCTCAGTATAGCTGCTCTGTCCAGGTGTGTATTCATTTATATCGAGTTTTAGTGCCTAACAGTTATATAACTTTCACTTTTAAATGTGTTTAATTGTCACATATAATGAAAGCGGTTCAGTCAACCTGGAACAGAACTACAGAACCAACATGGAGCCAGTCAGCATTCATCCATCAACTTCTTCTAGAGGTTCAAACTGTTTCTGATCCAGTGTGGAGGAGTTCATTTCTTAAGTGAAATAGTTCTTATGTTGGTTCCTAAATTAAATTGAAGCAGCAGAAACTGTATTTACGTCTACAGAGAAATCTTCAGCTCAAACTTTAAAGTAACGACTTTAATGGACGTTGCTGCAGAAGAGAAACAGGAACTCTGCTGTCGTCCGTTCGCTGACAGACCCTGAACTAAAGCTGCTTATGGAACCTGCAGTTTATCTCAGTTTACATTCAGAAACAGCGGTTCTGGTTCTGGTTTTTCTGAACAACCAGCACAGAGACTGAACATTGTAATAATGTAACATCAAAGTCTCCAACTTCTCCAACTTCACTAAAACTCGCTGTAAACTGGCTCCTCTTCCCGATGGTCTCTGTGTTTGTTGTTGTTGTTGTTGTTGTTCTGCGACTGTCCGACCGATGGAAAGCGGGTCGGCTGAGACTCTCCTTGTCGGTTCAGTCGACCGTCTGAAGCTCCTGAAATAAACTCTGTTCTCTGACTGCAGACTGGAGGATCTGGACTTGTCGAGGACCGGACTGTCTGAGCTTCGGTTCGATGACGCCGCTCCCGGTAAAACTAACCTAAAGTCACATTTTAATATTTACTACGGAGTATTAGGGCCATACTAAAAGGAAAAAAATAAATAAAAAATAAGTAAAATTTGGGAAATTACGAGAAAAAAGTTGCAATGTTACAAGAATAAAGTCGTTATAATACGAGAAAAAAAGAAAAAAGTTTTAATGAGAAAAAAGCTTCGATAGAGTTATCAAGATCTGAATCAGAATCAGAAATACTTTAATAATCCCAGGGGGAAATTATTCAGATATACAAACGACATATTATACAAACAACACATTCAGCACAAAAAATATAAATATATATATCTATATATATAGATATATATATAGTTATATAGTTATATATATATATATATATACAAGATCAAATGTACAGTATTAATGTGAAAAAAGTGAATGATTGTCAATGTTTAGAGTCAGAATTACAGAGGGGGGGGGGGGGGTGTCTGACTCTCTGAGGGAGGTGTTGTAGAGATTGATGACCACAGGCAGGAATGATTTCCTGTGGCGCTCTGTGGTGCATCTGGGTGAGAGGAGTCTTCTGCTGAAGGTGCTCCTCTGCTGGGCCAGTGTGTCGTAGAGAGGGTGAGAGACATTGTTCAAGATGGACTGAAGCCTGGACAGCATCCTCCTGATCTGACGTGAGCAGCTCAACCAAACAGCAGCCTCAGCCTGAGCCCAGCAGCCGCTGTTTGTCTCAGTCGTACCGTACAGTCAACTTTATTCTCGTAATATTACGACTTTATTCTCCTAATGTAACAACTTTTTCTCGTAATTCCCCCACAAAAAATGAATTGTTTCTCTTAGTCTGGCCCTAACACTCTGTTGTAAATATTTAACTGCTCTCTGCCTTAATATTTACAGTTGTTCTTACGTTCCCTCTGTAGGATCTCACACAGCCATGTTCCCGGCACTGAGGAAGCTCAACCTCGACCACAACAACATCACAGAGGTCAGTGTCTGCCAAATACTGAGGTCCTCTCAACCTGTAACAGTCAGCAGTCAGCAGAGGTCAGTGTCTGTTTCTGCCAAATACTGAGGTCCTCTCAACCTGTAAAGGCCAGGACACACCAACCCGACTGCAGACCGTCGGCAGAAAAGCAGTTGGACTGATCAGTCGGCTCCCGTCTCCCCAAGTCGGTCAAAAAAGTGCCTCCGAACACACCAAACTGACGCCGACTGGAGCGTAATACATCCCCATAACAGCAGGCGGCGCTAACCGGAAATGACGGATCTCTCTAGACCTAGTAAACACAGAGCACGCTGTCGTCAGTCATTGTTTTCATCAGAGAGTGTTGATAGTAGTCAAGAAGGATCGTTGTTGTCATTACTCGCTGAACAGAAAATACGATGGCTAATAATAACAAGATACTGCCGTTGGCGTAGGATGTTTACCATCGTCACTTCCGGTTTTCTCGTGCACTCACTGATTCGCAAGTCAAAGGCCAGCACTCCACCAATCAGATTGGTCATTGAGGCCGACGGCCACTGGCCGATTATACATGTCGAATCGGCAAAAATGAACGCCGACGCCGACTCCGACTGACGACGGCACGGGACACACCGAACCGACTCGAGTCACCGACCTCGTCTGACTGTCCGACGGCCGATAATCTCTCTCTCTCTCTGTGCTCTCTCTCTCTCTCTCTCTCTCTGTGTCTGTCTCTCTCTCTCTCTCTCTCTATCTCTCTCTCTCTGTCTCTCTCTCTGTGTCTCTCTCTCTCTCTCTCTCTGTCTCTCTCTCTGTCTCTCTGTCTCTCTCTCTGTCTCTCTCTCTCTCTCTCTCTCTCTCTCTCTGTCTCTCTCTCTCTCTCTCTCTCTCTCTGTCTCTCTCTCTCAGTGGAGTGTGGTGGACGAGTTGGCGAAGCTCTGTAGTTTGGTTCAGTTCTCGTGTCGCCGTAACAAACTGGCGAGCAGCGATGGAAACCCTAAAACAGCTGATCAGCTGCTGATCGCTAAACTGGGTGGACTGGAGGTTCTGAATGGCAGCAAGGTGAGCTGTAAACATACGGGGGGGGGGGGGGGTCTCCCAGCTAAACAACAACAACAACAACAACAAAAAAGTCTAGAAATCTAGAGTTATTGTTGCCATGGTTTCCATCAGGTGCATCCCGAGGACAGGAAGGGGGCGGAGCTCGACTACATCAAGATGTTTGGAGAGGATTGGCTGAAGGCGGGCGGGGGGGCTCAGCCTGGCAGCGAGTTCACCTGTCAGCACCCACGTTACCTGAGCCTCATCCACAGTAAGCCCCGCCCACAACGCCACCATGTGACTGTGTGTGTGTGTGTGTGTGTGTTATTGATTACAGTGGAAGGTGAACGTGGTCTCGTTCTGTGTTACAGAGTACGGAGCTCCTGAGGAAGGCGAGCTGAGGAAGCCGAAGCCGTTTGCCCTGAAAAACCAGCTGTTAAGTTAGTCCTGCCTCTTTCTGCTCTCAGCCCTCTGATTGGCTAACACTCAGGTTCCCAACCTGAGGGTCCCGACCCTCACTAGGGGTCGCCAAAGCTTAACAAGGGGTCATGAGGTCTTCTTGATTTCTAGAGGTTTAAGAAAACTTTAAAATAGACGCAGTAAGCCGGTTCTGATCCGATCTTCTCTCCTCTCCAGAGATCACGTTTGTGTGTCCAGACGACGGCGAGCGGAAGCCGATCGAGAAGAAACTTCCAGGTAAACTTCCTCCTCTCTCTGCTGTTTCCGGCTGAAAAAGAATCCGGATGAGTGTAACTGTGTTTTGTTCCGCAGCCTCCATGGAGGTCCAGAAGGTGAAGGGACTCCTGTACCGACTGCTGAAGGTTCCTGCTGCAGATCTGAAGCTCACCTACACCAGCCTCAAGGTACGACGCAGACTGCAGTTCCTCTAATGGCCACTAGAGGCAGACTGCAGTTCCTCTAATGGCCACTAGAGGCGGACTGCGGTTCCTCTAATGGCCACTAGAGGCGGACTGCAGTTCCTCTGCTGGCCACTAGAGGCAGACTGCAGTTCCTCTAATGGCCACTAGAGGCAGACTGCAGTTCCTCTAATGGCCACTAGAGGCAGACTGCAGTTCCTCCGCTGGCCACTAGAGGCAGACCGCAGTTCCTCTAATGTCCACTGGAGGCGGACCGCAGTTCCTCTAATGTCCACTAGAGGCGGACCGCAGTTCCTCTAATGGCCACTAGAGGCGGGCTGCAGTTCCTCTGCTGGCCACTAGAGGCGGACTGCAGTACCTCTAATGTCCACTAGAGGCGAACTGCAGTTCCTCTAATGGCCACTAGAGGCCAGCTCCAGCACTGAGCTCCACATTAACACAGTCGAGCTCTTTTCTCTCCAGAAAGTTGGGACGGAGTTTGAGATCGACAGCGACCTGAAGACTCTACAGTTTTACTCCATAGAGGACGGAGACCAGGTGTTGGTCCGCTGGTCCTGAGCCGGGACCTGGACCCAGGAGGTGAAGAGCCCCCCCCCCCCCCTCTGGTCCACAGTCCAGAAAGACTACGACAGAAATGAAACCACACAGAGAAATCATCCTCTAACATTTAGTGAATAAACAAACAGACCTTTCACACTCTGAATTCTTCCTCTTTGCGTTGTTATGATCAGTCGGAGCCAATAATCTGCGGCTTTGTGACTTTTAGGGCTCCGACAGACCGGAGAGACGTCCTGGAAAACCTGGAATAGTACAGGCTAGTCATGGAAACACCTGGAAATTGATTAAAATGAGCAAATATCCTGGAAGTAATCGGCGTTCGGCCTGCGCTGTGGCGCCTTAAAAGTTAAAAGTTCCTTAAAATATCAGGAAAACTCATCTCTCGATATTCACAGGAAATAATCTGCGCAGAATTCATTAAAATCCTGAATATCCGTAAAATAATCAGTTCAGTCACTGATAGAAACGACAAAATGAACCTTTCTGTCAGTGAGTAAACTGACTGTATTTCATATTATATTCAATGTGTATCAATAACAACAAGAGATGTTATTTTATGTTTCTGTTTAAATCGTCTGACATTGAAATTCAAATAAAAATCTGTCACTCACTGTTGTCTGCTGGGGTCATTATTATCATATTATATTATTATCACTATATTATATTATTATCACATTATTATATTATCACTATATTATATTATCACATTATTATATTATTATCACATTATATTATTATCATAATATATCATATATAATTAAAGCTGCAAGCAGCGTTGAGCGGGACCTCGCACCCCACCCAACTCGGGGCGTGCTGCGGCCGCGTCGCGTGCCGTCGTAACACTTGGGGACCACAACATGAAAATGTCACGTAAATCAGCTCAAAATCGCCACACAGCGCTTACCACCTGTTGCCGGAAGGTGGCGCTATCACTATGTCTTAATATTGTCATGTAGACAAGTTCAGGGCGGGACTGTTGTAACACACGTGAAGTTTCATTGAGATTGGACCACGTACGCTGAAGTGATGAGGACGTGTTCAGGGCGAGACTGTTACAGAATATATGAAGTTCACTGGAGATTGGACATTGCACACTGAAGTTATGAGTGGCATTTCATGGCGGATCCACTGAATTCGACAAGTCGTCACCGGCACGGTCCTTTCACGTAACGCAGCTCAAAATCGCCACGCAGCGCTTACTTCTTATTGCCAGTAGGTGGCGCTATCACTATGTCTGAATATTGTCATGTAGACGTGTTCAGGGTGGGACTGTTATCAAACACGTGAAGTTTCATTGAGATTGGATCATGAACGCTGAAGTTATGAGGACGTGTTCAGGGTGGGACTGTACACTGAAGTTGAGTACTATCTGTTTATGGTGAATGGTCGAAATTCAACGCAACGCCACGGGTACGCCGTTTGACGGAATGTCGTAAATAGCACAACTTTTAATCATGAATGTCTTTAGATTGCGCTGATTAAATTGGAAGTTGATCCGATAAATTCCCTAGGAGGAGTTCGTTCAAATACAAGGCAAAAAATCACAGAAAATGAGCACGGAATACAAAATGGCTGACTTTGATGCCAAGCCACGGACACGCCGTTTGACGGAATGTCGTAATTAGCACAACTTTTAATCATGAATGTCTTTAGATTGCTTTGATTAAATTTGAAGTAGATCCGATAAATTCCCTAGGAGGAGTTCGTTCAAATACAACACGAAAAATCACAGAAAATGACCAAAAAAATCTAAATGGCTGACTTTGATGCCACGACACGGACACGCCCTTCAACGTACATGCACAAATAGCACAACTTTCAATCAGGACCATTTTTTGAGTGTACTCACAAATTTTGAAGCATATCCGATAAATTCCCTAGGAGGAGTTCGTTCAAATACAACGCGAAAAATTCGCAGAAAGTGAAACTTTAAATCAAAATGACCGACTTCCTGTGGGGTTTCGGGTATGGGTCCAAGAGGCTTTTTTGTACGTCCCGGCATTCTAAACGGGCCTACCGAGTTTCGTACATATCGGTGAAACGTGGCGCCGGGGCTACTGTTTTTTTATCCTGTAGAGGGCGCTACACACACGACAAACACGATTTTTGGTATGTGAGCTTCAGGCACTACTCTACACGTGCCCTGTGAATTTCATATTCATAACTATTACGGTGTCCGCACAGTGATTTTTCATGCCAAAAGAGCGCCACCTAGTGGCGTATTTTTTTTGTCCTTTTTAAGTGAGCCTCAGGGAGCCAGGGGGAAGCAGCATACCAAGTTTCATCTTAATCACATATACCGTTGTAGAGATATAAACTTCTTCATTTTAAAGAGCGCCACCTAGTGGCAATAGCCTGAAATTGTGCACGATGCTTAAGGAAGACATGTGGAACTATGAAACCAAGTTTGGTGTCAATCGGACATACCAATGTGGAGAAATGGTCCACTTCCTTTTTTGATGAAAAATCTACAGGAAGTTGGAATTTTATAGCGTGCTTATTTTTTTAAATTTCAAAAATGTTCAAATTAGCCTTTTTGCCAGGGCGGTCCCCAGGTAGTAGGTGAAAATTTTCGTGCGAATCAGAAAAAGCGTGTAGGAGGAAGACTTAAAAGTAGTTTATGGACATTTTGCGCTCTAGAAAAAAAAAATTCTAGGCGGAAGTGGGCGGGGCTTATATGGGGAGATTCAGCTCCATTCACCGAACACGTGGATGTGAGTTTTTTGAATGTGCGACAAACTATGCAGAAGTTATTAGCCTAAACGCATTTTTTATGATAGTAGCGCCACCTAGTGGCAGACCCGAAAGCGACGCATGTAATATCCCCATTTTCACCAGGCCTGATCACTTTGCCAAATAAAATTGACTTTTCGTATATGTTCAGGGGGCAAAAATAATAATAATAGGTAAGAAGAAGAAATCGAGCAAAAACAATAGGGACCTCCAGCGGTCGCTATGCAGGTCCCTAATTATCACTATATTATATTATTATCACATTATTATATTATCACTATATTATATTATTATCACATTATTATATTATTATCACTATATTATATTATCACATTATTATATTATTATCACTATATTATATTATTATATTATTATGTTATTATCTGTTATTAGGGACCTCGCAAGCGACCGCTGGAGGTCCCTATTGTATTTGCTCGATTTCTTCTTACCTATTATTATTTTTAGCCCCTATTGACTGCATTTTTGCCCCCCTGAACATATACGAAAAAGTAAATTTTATTTGGCAAAGTGGTCAGGCCTGGTGAAAATGGGGATATTACATGCGTCGCTTTCGGGTCTGCCACTAGGTGGCGCTACTATCATAAAAAATGCGTTGAGGCTAATAACTTCTGCATAGTTTGTCGCACATTCAAAAACTTACATCCACGTGTTCGGTGAATGGAGCTGAATCTCCCCATATAAGCCCCGCCCACTTCCGCCTAGAATAATTTTTTTCTAGAGGGCAAAATGTCCATAAACTACTTTTAAGTGTTCCTCCTACACGCTTTTTCCGATTCGCACGAAATTTTTCACCTGCTACCCGGGGACCGCCCTGGCAAAAAGGCTAATTTGAACATTTTTGAAATTTAAAAAAATAAGCACGCTATAAAATTCCAACTTCCTGTAGATTTTTTGTCAAAAAAGGAAGTGGACCATTTCTCCACATTGGTATGTCCGATTGACACCAAACTTGGGTCCAAAGTTCCACATGTCTTCCTTAAGCATCGTGCACAATTTCAGGCCATTGCCACTAGGTGGCGCTCTTTAAAAATGAAGAAGTTTATATCTCTACAACGGTATATGTGATTAAGATGAAACTTGGTATGATGCTTCCCCCTTATTCCCTGAGGCTCCCTTAAAAAGGAAAAACAAAATGCGCCACTAGGTGGCACTCTTTTGGAATGAAAAATCACTGTGCGAATACCGTAATAGTTATTAATATGAAATTCACAGGGCACGTGTAGAGTAGTGCCTGAAGCTCACATACCAAAAATCATGTTCGTCATTTGTGTAGCGCCCCTACAGGATAAAAAAACAGAAGCCCCAGCGCCACGTTTCACCGATATGTACGAAACTCGGTAGGCACGTGTAACATGCCGGGACATACAAAAAAGCCTCTTGGACCCATACCCCAAAGCCCACAGGAAGTTGGCCATTTTGATTTTCATTTTCACTTTCGGCGAACTTTTCGCGTTTTATTTGAACGAACTCCTCCTAGGGAATTTATCAGATCTACTTCGAAATTTGTGAGTACAGTCAAGAAATGGTGCTGATTAAAAGTTGTGCTATTTGTGCATGTACGTTGAAGGGCGTGTCCGTGGCGTGGCATCAAAGTCAGCCATTTTGAGTTTTTTGCTCATTTTCTGTGATTTTTCGCGTTGTATTTGAACGAACTCCTCCTAGGCAATTTATCGGATCTACTTCAAATTTAATCAGCGCAATCTAAAGACATTCATGATTAAAAGTTGTGCTATTTACGACATTCCGTCAAACGGCGTGTCCGTGGCTTGCCATCAAAGTCAGCCATTTTGCATTCTGTGCTCATTTTCTGTGATTTTTCGCCTTGTATTTGAACGAACTCCTCCTAGGCAATTTATCGGATCTACTTCAAATTTAATCAGCGCAATCTAAAGACATTCATGATTTAAAGTTGTGCTATTTACGACATTCCGTCAAACGGCGTGCCCGTGGCGTTGCGTTGAATTTCGACCAGTCACCATAAACAGATAGTACTCAACTTCAGTGTACAGTCCCACCCTGAATACGTCCTCATAACTTCAGTGTACATGATCCAATCTCAATGAAACTTCACGTGTTTGATAACAGTCCCACCCTGAACACGTCTACATGACAATATTCAGACATAGTGATAGCGCCACCTACTGGCAACAGGAAGTAAGCGCTGCGTGGCGATTTTGAGCTGCGTTACGTGAAATGACCGTGCCAGTGACGACTTGTCAAATTCAGCGGATTCGCCATGAAATGCCACTCATAACTTCAGTGTGCATTGTCCAATCTCCAGTGAACTTCATATATTGTGTAACAGTCTCGCCCTGAACACGTCCTCGTAACTTCAGCGTACGTGGTCCAATCTCAATGAAACTTCACATGTGTTACAACAGTCCCGCCCTGAACTTGTCTACATGACAATATTAAGACATAGTGATAGCGCCACCTTCCGGCAACAGGTGGTAAGCGCTGCGTGGCGATTTTGAGCTGATTTACGTGACATTTTCGTGTTGTGGCAGCGCACCCCGAGTTGCATGGAGTGCGAGGTCCCGCTCAACGCTGCTTGCAGCTTTAATTATCTGTTATATTTCTGTTATATTGTTACATTATCTGTCTCTCTCTCACCGACTGGTCGCCTGCTGAGTCGGTTCCTGTCTGAAGGTTCGTGTCCACAGGATCATTAACATTCATTGTCTCTGTGAGCAATGCATTGTGGGTTAGAGAGACGAGAGGAGTAGAAGTTTAGTTCAGATGTTTCTATGATAAATGACAGAACTTCAGCTGGATCTGGTCAATCTGCTGGAAGAGATACATAAAAGTGTAGTGGCGCTCTCACTATTACTGAATATTATCACATAGACGTGTTCAGGGCGGGACTCTTATCAGACATGAAGTTTCATTGAGATCAGATCAGGTACTCAGAAATTATGACGAATCCCTCTTTCATGGCGAGTCCTTGAAATTCCACGCCACGGCCACGGGCACGCCGTTCAACGGAATGTCGTAAATAGCACAACTTTTAATGGTGAATGTGTTTAGATGGCTGTGTCCAAATCTGAAGTGTATCCGATCAATTCAAATAGGAGGAGTTGGTTCAAATACAACGTGTGCAAATCGCCATAAATGACCACTAAATCCAAAATGGCTGCGAGTGCTAACAGACAAGCAAACTGCTCACATGTGGTTTGGATCACCATAGCAACACACAGGAAGAGTGACGGCTCATTCTGCTCAGAAAAACCATAGATATTGATCTGCTGATTGGCAGCCAGATAGAGCGATCGGTTCCTGTACGCAGTTAAACAGTGGGCGGGACTGAAAGGGTTACGCAAGAGGGAAAAATGTTAAATTTATACCCTCAATGGGCAATGTATGTCGGGAGATACAGTCTGTAAACTGGAAAATAAAGGTCATAATTATATAATTTCAGCCTACATACATTAGAAAATAGCAATTAATTATAAGTCCAAAACATTTATAGAGGATTGTCCATTTAAGAGTTAACTGCAGACCACACACTGTCAACATCACCTTTAATGGACTAAAACTTTATTTAACAAAGAGAACCATCAGGAAACACACACAGTTTAATTCAGTTTAAATCAGTTTAATTCAGTTTAATTCAGTTTAAATCAGTTTAAATCAGTTTAATTCAGTTTAAATCAGTTTAATTCAGTTTAAAGACTCTAACTGTGTCTGTTTTATAACTACTGTGACAGAGTCAGTCAGATATACTCCAGTAAAGCTCCACCTCTTCCTGTACGCAGACAGACACTGAGGACAGCACATGTGAGACATCAGAGCAGACAGCAGACAGACGGGCAGAGAGACGCTCTACCTGGACATGGATCACCTATTGGTGCTGTTGCTGTTGCTGTGGAGCTCAGGTAGGACTCTGCTTTAAAGATGGTGAAATATTTGTGTGTCTCTCTCTCTCTCACACACACACACACACACACACACACACACACACACACACACACACACACACATTGATGTATGAAAGGAAGAAAAAAAGGAAAACAGTGTAAAATTGTACACAGTAAAGTTTGAATCCTTCAGATTTTCATCAAATCAAACCCAGTTTTTAATGAACTATTTAGTCAATGATTGTTTTTTAGTAATTATCTCTCTGCAATAATTCAGTGGTGTCAGAAGGTGTGTGTAGCTGTGTGTGCGTACTGTCACTGGGAAGTTGTTGCTGAGATATTGACGTTTGTTTTGTTTTTGTTTGTGCGTCTGTGGGGTCAAAGGTCAACTTCACTAAATCATCAGAACTAATAAATATCAGGTAATTAGTGAACACATGTCACATGTCCTGACGCTGACAGCATTAATGTGATAGTAAGAGCTCAGCGTGCTAACGGAACCACAGTCCTGTAATCTGTAATCTGTCAGCAGATTCTGATCAAATGAACATTTATCAGAGGGACAGTGTTTCACAGAAATGCACTTCAGAGAGTTTAACTGCAGGATGTCAACATCACCTTTAATGGACCCATACAAAGAAAGACAACTACTGTGTTGGTACAATTAAAATTAAATAAATTATTACCTACGACCAAAATGACCATCAACAGCTGGTAAGTTGGAGGATGTGGAGCTCTAACTTTATAAGTATAGCTCCATTCATACAGTTTAGTGCAGCTCAAAGTGATTCACAGATGATTGATAGGAATAAAATAAAAAAACACATAGCGGACCGGACCGGCCCACATTGGGTCAACGGCCCACTGGGACGATACCCGGTATGCCAGATGGCCAGTCCACCCCTGGTGTGCAGGTGTTGAGTTTAACTCAGTGTAAACCAGTCTGCTGACTCGTGTTCATTCACATGTTCATCTCAACTATAGTAAACTGGTAAAACGGTTCCAGAGAGAGTTCACTGAGATGTTTCTGAGCTCCAAGAAACTTGGATCGACTGTCCTCTTTTCAAAATGCTGTTTCATACTGATGAGTATTTTCTGATTTTCTCCTCAGCACTGCAGACTGAAGGAACACCCAACTCAACAGGTAAATAGAGAAAGAAAAGAGAAGTAAAGAATCGTCTTTGTGTGGAGAGCAAAGATTGTGGAGTACCTGAGCAGAAGGAACAGAATAGATGAATCTGCAGATGATGATGTTGTTTTATTGTTTGAAAGTGTTTAAAAATGGATACCAAGTGTTCCAGTGTATTCAGTGTCAGTGTATTGGGAGCTGTTGGACTCACCTGCTCAGGTAGAAGAGGAGCTGCAGCTCTGATTGGTTCATTTCTGTTCTGATGAAACTCACTTTATTCTTTTACTGATGACTCTCTTGTTTCTGTTCAGAGTCTGAGGAGGTCAGGTTGGTGGGAGGAGACAGTCGCTGTGCAGGAACACTGGAGCTGAAACATAATGGAGACTGGAGACCAGTGGATGGCTTCGGCTGGACCCTGAAGGAAGCAAATGTTGTCTGTAGAAATCTGGACTGTGGTTCTGCTGTTTCTGTAGTAAAGAGAAAGGAGTCTTCAGGCAGACCTGTGTGGTGGATCGACTCTGACTGTGTTCAGTCTGGATCTTCTCTGAGGGACTGTGCAACATCAGTTTCCTCTTTATACATCCTGAATCTCACCTGTTCAGGTAAGCCCATCAGTGACATCATCAATGACATCATTAATGACAGTAATGTACCCATGTTGAGACACACACACACACACACACACACACACACACACACACACACACACACACACAACCTGTAGTGATCCCAGTTCACCTCCTGGGCTCTGCCGAGGTGTCTTGAGCAAGGCACTGAAGCCCTAACTGCTTGGAGCAGCGACTGTGTGGCAGCCTCATCACTCTGACATCTGTCCACTAATGCATGTGTCCAGGTCCTGTGTGTGCATCAGTGGCTGCTGACTCAAACATTGTGGAGGACAGGAGGAAAACCAACCCACAGCATCGTGTTATTTTACACTAGTTGGCAGATTATCTCTACTTTCTTCTGTTCAATAACAATGAAACAGTAAATCAATGGCTTCCAAGAGTTCTTAAAAACAACATCATTGTATTCACTGCTGTTGTTTCCAGATGAACCCTACAGGCCTAATGCAGAAGACAGAGTATTTATCAAGGCTGTGAGATGTAACAAGAAGCAGCCAGTGTTCAACACCTGAAGGAAAGTGTGCTGACTGATGATGACTACTTGCTGCTTGAATCAAAGCTGGCCCCATTTCCAATCAGACAGACGAAGCTTACTGTACTTTCACTTCCAATATTTTATTCCCAACGATGCGTTATCACAAGTCCAGGTTCACCAGGGCTTTTTAAAGTAGTGTGTGCTTTGTATTCAGAGACAGCTGGCAGTTATCCTCAACAAAGTAGTTCAAACACAGCAGCTCTATTTCTCTGCTACAAAGGAAATATATATGACAGATGTCACAACCTTTAGAAGTTTGTGACAGTGCAGCCAAGGGGAGCGTGGAGAAGCACATTGGAGTCAGCGGCCGTCAGCGGCTCTAGTGGAGAGTATGTGTCTTTGTTTGGTAGCACACATTATTCAGCAGCTGCAGGTGTCTCGCTCCCCGACTAACGTTACTACCGTTACCGACCCGCCCGCGGTGGCTAAGCCGACCTGCCGCTGCTAGGCACTCACCTCGCCCGGCTAGACGAGACTAGACTAGGTCGGCTTAGCCACCGCGGGCGGGTCGGTAACTTTAACGCTAACATTATCTTTCAACCATAATGTGTGCTACCAAACAAAGACACATACTCACCTCTAGAGCCGCTGACGGCCGCCGACTCCAATGTGCTTCTCCATGCTCCCCTTGGCTGCACTGTCAGAAACTTCGGAGAGTTAACGTAAATATGACGTAACATCCCGCCTCCCACCGTCATCACACTGATGACGTGCTGAGAGCGGGAGCTCAACGTACACGTCCCAAACAGAGAAGATCACAACAATAGCATGTCTTCATAAACCACCCTTGTTCGTCTTCATACAATATGTTGGGAAGTTGCAGTAAATATCAATACAATATGTTCTATATCCCTTTGTGTTGTGTCTCTCCTTCGTCTGTTAAGATAACTGAACATTTTGTGAGTCTCGAGGCATTGTCAGCCTTTATATCTCATTGGTAAATGCTTAATAAGCCATAGATAGTGCTCACTTTAGATGAGCTCGCACAAAATACTTAATTAACGAGTAGTAAGTGCTTTGTAACTGCCTCAGTTCATGAATTCCTGCATTAATAACAATAATGAATTTGTTGTGAGTTTTATAGAACATCTGCTAACACAGTCACTAATCATTAATACATGTCTGAATAGTGGATGTGCAAGTGCATGCAGAAATGTACAGTACAATGAAGAGTAAAACATTTATAACTGTGATTATAAACCACATAGTAATGACTATTTACAGCAGAATCATGCTTTATAAATGATGAATTCAGTATTTACTAATCCATAACTAATGTGCTTATCAATGATGAATACATTTTTTTTAACTGTGTTTATAAACTACATACTAATGTGTATTCATGTGTTATAAATGATGAATTCATTATTTATTCATGCTTAACTAATGCTTAATAGTGTGTACTTATTATAAAGTGTTACCAATCTTTTTATAGTTTTATTTCCCTCTTTCCTCTCAACAATAGAGGAGGAACAACCTCCCCTGCCTCTACGGACCAGCATCCCCTAGTGAACGTGTGTGTATTTAAGGCCAATGTGTGTAATGTTAAAATAACATTATATTATGTTTGATGACATCTTTTTATTTGTGTCTGGTGTCTTTTCTCTCTCTCTATTGTATCTTCTATTATCTGCCCAGACTCTGTCAGGCTGGTGGATGGGACTAGTCCGTGCTCAGGCAGACTGGAGGTGAAGTCTGACCAGTCTAACCAGTGGTGGTCCTCAGTGTGTGAAGATGACTTTGACCAGCAGGATGCAGAGGTGGTCTGTAGGGAGCTCGGCTGTGGGGCTCCTTCAGTCCTCCAGGGGGCGCTCTATGGAGAAGTGGAGGCTCCAATGTGGACCAAAGAGTTCCAGTGTGGAGGCCATGAGTCTGCTCTCCTGGACTGTAGAAGCTCAGGCTCAGCTAGAAACACCTGCTCACCTGGAAAAGCTGTTGGACTCACCTGCTCAGGTAGAAGAGGAGCTGCAGCTCTGATTGGTTCATTTCTGTTCTGATGAAACTCACTTTATTCTTTTACTGATGACTCTCTTGTTTCTGTTCAGATTCTGTCAGGTTGGTGGGAGGAGACAGTCGCTGTGCAGGAACACTGGAGCTGAAACATAATGGAGACTGGAGACCAGTGAGGGGCTTAGGCTGGACCCTGAAGAGAGCAAATGTTGTCTGTAGAAATCTGGACTGTGGTTCTGCTGTTTCTGTAGGAGAGAGAGAGGAGTCTTCAGACAGACCTGTGTGGTGGATCTACTCTTACTGTGTTCAGTCTGGATCTTCTCTGAGGGACTGTGCAACATCAGAATCCTCTTCCTCCATTCTGAAACTCACCTGTTCAGGTAAGCCCATCAGTGACATCATCAATGACATAATTAATGACAGTAATGTACCCATGCTGACACACACACACACACACACACACACACACACACACACACACACACACACACACACACCTGTAGTGATCCCAGTTCACCTCCTGGGCTCTGCCGAGGTCTCTTGAGCAAGGCACTGAACCCCTAACTGCTTGGAGCAGCGACTGTGTGGCAGCCTCATCACTCTGACATCTGTCCACTAATGCATGTGTCCAGGTCCTGTGTGTGCATCAGTGGCTGCTGACTCAAACATTGTGGAGGACAGGAGGAAAACCAACCCACAGCATCGTGTTATTTTACACTAGTTGGCAGATTATCTCTACTTTCTTCTGTTCAATAACAATGAAACAGTAAATCAATGGCTTCCAAGAGTTCTTAAAAACAACATCATTGTATTCACTGCTGTTGTTTCCAGATGAACCCTACAGGCCTAATGAAGCTCAGTGTAAGTTCAATCAGGAAGACCTTCTCATTATGCCTCATTCATTCACAATTCTCTCCCTCTCTTTTCTAATCAGCCATGGCCGTTTACTCTTTCAGTTAATCCAATCAGATTTAGCCACAATCTCCTCCAGCCAATCATGTTGCTGCTGTTAAACTTTAAATCTGGTCTTTTCTCTGCTGCTTTCAGCTGTCATTTCTGTGCAAATGTGATTTGGATTCTTCAGCTCAATTCATATTCAATGTTAAGATAACGACGGAGAGAGGCTGATCAAACCACTACTGCACCACATCAAGTCTATATTTTAGCAGTGGGCCCAGTCATGGTCCTGTGTCGGTATGTTTTGTTGCCTTAAATCTTCCATCGTGTATCAATGCCAGTATACCACCAACAAACAAATCACAGCAATATGTTTTCACTTCTGAAATTTTCACCGTGCATCAATACCAGTAGCCTACAAAACCAGATCAACACAGTCAGGTACAAGCTGTCCTCACATACCGATCAGTTCCCAGAAAATTCCTCAATGTCTCCAATCAGCGTCCCTCGTCGCTGCCAAGCCTACATGCAGCTGGCCTCTGTGTTCAGCAGGGCTTCACAGGGCGCTCATCACCTTTCGTCTCTGTTGCAACAGCTCTCTGGTCTAATGAGGTACTGCTGGAGCAACATGGCATTCTGTACCTTTATGTGGCAAAACCACTTAAATTCAATGTTTTTTAGCTTTATTTATTCAGGGAGGGTTCACTGAGAGGAAGCCACTGTTACACATTCATACTTGGAAGCTGCCCAGTACAAGCACAGCCACTGAGCAGCTGTACAGCAGCGTTTTGGGTTAAGGGTCTTGCTCAAGGGCACATCAGTGGTGGTATTGAGGGAGGGGCAAGTGCTGCTTCTTCACTTTCCCCACCCGCCTTTAGGCCACCGCTTTACAATTATTCACCAAAATGTATTTAAAGAAATAACAATTAGTTTACATCTTTTAACACTTTCAGTACCTTTTCATGCCACAGCAGACTGCAGGGGGAAAAACAGGTTGCACTACACAACTCCGCAGGGGCTCCATAAGGGAGGGCTACAGCATCAAATAAAGTTAAATAAATACAGAAAAACAAGTCCCCAACGTGGAATACAAAGAATGAGAAAATACATTGACAATAAAACAGTGATAGCTGCTGTCTTACACACTTCTCTGCTCTTTCTTTAGAACAGTCACCCACCCAAAACCCCATAGAGACTGTGTCTGTCCCCCGACCACCTAAATTATTTAAAGAAATAAAAACAAGAGGAGTTCAACATAAAAATCTAATAAAAATTAAAACCAACTCCTCAGTAGCACAAAATAAGAGAATGAAATGTGGGCTGTTAAATATCAGGTCTCTGTCCTCTAAAGCTGTTTTAGTGAATGCATTAATATCAGATTATGATATTGATTTACTTTGTCTTACTGAGACCTGGTTGTCCCACGAGGAGTATGTTAGCCTAAATGAATCCACCCCCCCCAGTCACATTAATACTCACATTCCTCGAGGCACTGGCCGAGGAGGTGGAGTGGCAGCCATATATGATTCGAGCGTTTTAATGGACACTAAACCTAAACTAAATTATAATTCATTCGAAAGCCTTGTTCTTAGTCTTTCTCACCCAAACTGGAAAACACTGCAGCCAGTTCTATTTGTTATAGTGTACCGTGCTCCTGGACCGTACTCTGATTTTATATCTGAATTTTCAGAGTTTTTATCAAGTTTAGTCCTTAAATCAGATAAAGTAATTATTGTAGGTGATTTTAATATTCATGTGGATGTTGACAATGACAGCCTTAGTAATGCATTTATATCATTAATCGACTCAATTGGCTTCTGTCAGAGTGTAAATAAACCAACTCATTGTTTTAATCACACTCTTGACCTTGTTCTATCATATGGCATTGATATTGAACATTTAATAGTCTTCCCACATAATCCTTTCCTATCTGACCATTATTTAATAACTTTTGAATTCATACTATTAGATTATAAGCCATTAGGCAAAACTTCCTACAGCAGATGTTTATCTGACAGTGCTGTAGCTAAATTTAAGGAGGACATTCCTTCAGTGTTTAATTCAATGCCATGTCTGAATTTAACAGAGTCCTATAACGACTTTAGTCCCTCCCAAATTGATAATCTTGTTGATAGTGCTGCAGGCTCACTACGATCAACATTAGACTCTATCGCTCCTATAAAAAGGAAATTATTAAAACATAGGAGACTAGCACCTTGGTATAACCACCAAACCCGCCAGTTAAAACAAATAGCTAGGAAATCTGAAAGGAAATGGCGCTCTTCCAAATTATCAGAATATCGCTCAATTTGGCAAGATAATCTTAAAACCTATAGAAAGGCCCTCCGTAATGCCAGAGGAGCCTATTATTCAGCACTAATAGAAGAAAATAAGAACAACCCTAGGTTCCTCTTCAGCACTGTAGCCAGGCTGACAGAGAGTCACAGCTCTATCGAGCCACATATCCCCATAAACTTAAGTAGCAATGACTTCATGAGCTTCTTCTATAATAAAATTATTACTATTAGAGAAAAAATTAACCACCAACTGCCATCAACAGTTATCAGTGGCTCTCCAAGTTCAGGGACTTCTGCCAATGTAAACTCAGATATATATTTAGACTGTTTTTCTACTATCGATCTTCATCAGTTAACTTCAATCATTTCTTCATCGAAGCCATCAACCTGTCTATTAGACCCGATCCCAACTAGGCTGCTTAAAGAAGTTGTTCCCTTAATTGGCACTTCTTTACTGGATATGATTAATCTTTCTTTATTATCAGGATATGTACCACAGTCCTTTAAAGTAGCTGTAATTAAACCCCTTCTTAAAAAGTCCACTCTTGACCCAGGGGTTTTAGCCAACTATAGACCGATTTCTAACCTCCCCTTCCTCTCTAAGATTCTGGAGAAAGTAGTCGCCAAAGAGTTGTGTGACTTTCTACATAACAATAGCTTATTTGAGGATTTTCAGTCAGGATTTAGAGTTCATCATAGCACAGAGACAGCTCTGGTTAAAGTTAATAATGACCTTCTGACTGCTTCTGACAATGGACTTGTCTCTGTACTTGTATTATTAGATCTTAGTGCTGCATTTGACACCATTGACCATAATATTCTTTTAGAGAGACTTGAGCGTCAAATTGGCATTAAAGGAACTGCCCTAAGCTGGTTTAAGTCATACTTATCAGATCGTTCTCAGTTTGTACATGTTAACGATGAATCCTCCATAAACACTAAAGTTAGTCATGGAGTTCCACAAGGTTCTGTACTTGGACCAATACTATTTACTTTATATATGCTCCCTTTAGGCAACATTATTAGGAATCACTCCATTAACTTTCACTGTTATGCAGATGATACGCAGTTATATCTATCAATCAAACCCAATGAAGTTAATCAATTATCTAAATTACAAACATGTCTTACCGACATAAAATCCTGGATGACCTGCAATTTTCTGATGTTAAACTCAGAAAAAAACGAAATTCTTGTTCTTGGCCCCAAAAACCTTAGAGACTCATTGTCTAAAGATATAGTTACTCTAGATGGCATTAACTTGGCCTCTAGCACCACTGTCAGGAATCTTGGAGTTATCTTTGATCAGGATTTGTCATTTAACTCCCACATAAAGCAGACCTCTAGGACCGCCTTCTTTCATTTACGTAATATTAGAAAAATTAGACACATACTATCACAGACAGATGCAGAAAAATTAATCCATGCATTTGTTACTTCAAGGCTGGATTACTGCAACTCTTTATTATCAGGTTGCCCCAATAAGTCCATTAAAAACGCTCCAATTAATTCAGAACGCTGCAGCACAGTACTGACAGGAACTAGAAAAAGAGATCACATCTCTCCTGTACTAGCTACTCTGCATTGGCTCCCTATAAAATGTAGAATTGAATTTAAAATCCTCCTCCTCACCTATAAAGCTCTTCATGGTCAGGCCCCTTCATATCTTAAAGAGCTCATAGTACCTTATTACCCCACTAGAACATTACGTTCTCTGAATGCTGGGCTACTTGTGGTTCCTATAGTCTTTAAAAGTAGAACAGGAGCCAGAGCCTTCAGTTACCAAGCTCCTCTCCTGTGGAACCAGCTTCCAGTTGTGGTTCGGGAGGCAGACACCCTCACCACATTCAAGAGCAGGCTTAAGACATTCCTCTTTGATAAAGCTTATAGTTAGGGCTGGATCAGGTGAGTCCTGAACCATCCCTTAGTTATGCTGCTATAGGCCTAGACTATCGGGGGATTTCCCATGGTGCACTGAGCTACTCTCTTCCTCTCTCTTTCTGCACTCATTCATGTCCCATTACTGCATGTTACTAACTCCACTTCTTCCCCGGAGTTCCTGTGCTTTCTCGTCTCGCAGGTTCTCATGGATCCTGGTGGAGCCTCCTGCCATGGTCCTGCTTGACGGCCATTGCCAATAGTGTTGTTGCTGTGCACCTGTATGTCTGTCTGTCTCTCTCTCTCTCTCTCTCTCTCTCTCTCTCTCTCTCTCTCTCTCTCTCTCTCTCTCCACCCCAACTGGTCGAGACAGACGACCACCCACCTTGAGCCGGAGGATCTGTCCTAGGTTTCTGCCTTTTAACAGGCAGTGTTTCCTTGCCCTTGTCGCCAAGGTCTTGCTCATGGTGGTACTGTTGGGTCTCTGTAATTAATGTTAAAGAGTTCGGTCTAGACCTGCTCTATTTGAAAAGTGTCCTGAGATAACTTCTGTTATGAATTGGCGCTATACAAATAAAATTGAATTGAATTGAATTGAATTGATAATACTTAATAAAATACAGTTGTGAGTAATGGTAATGGCTACTGGAAGCATTCCACTCTGCTACACTGACAATTAGCTACGGGATTAAATGAACAAAATCACTCAAATAGATCCACTGTGAACTTGCCAATACACGCTGAAACGTCCTTGTGGCAAAATTAAAAAAGTTGAATGGAAGTGCTGTCCTAGTTCTTTGGTTCATGAAATTATTCCCAGGCCACACAGACCAATAATTGAATGGAAATTTACTAGTAGCCTATTTTATTTCAGTCAGCCCAACTCTCTATTTAAATCAAGATTTTGTGATCACTGATTTGCTGAAACATTTTCCTCTACCTTAAGCTTGTTACAATTATGTTCCCCTTTCTGTCAGCCATGTTTTGTACCTTTAAAATTAAACAAAGGTCCACATTTATCACCTTAAGGACCTTTTTCGTGCCTTAGACGGGACTTTTGTAACAAATGTACCTTTGGGTACAGAAATGATTCCCCTATTTCTCTGTGTGCAGGACCTCGACCCAACAAACTCACTGTTTTCAGTTTGGTTGTCGGACCCTATTTTTTGTTTGCGATCTCTGACTTTAATTTCTGTTTAGTTGTCAGACGTTAAGTTCTGTTTTCCATTTTATTTAAGTTGGTGTTGTTCGGTCTTATGACCTTTTATTAGGTTCCACATGCTACACCTATGGTCTCCCTGACCTCATGCAACAAATCTGCATTTTCAGTTTGTGACTGCTGACTTTAATTTCTACTTGGTATTATGATATTTTATATTTCTGTTTGGTCCTATGAACTTTCCATTATGTTACATACTGATCTTAATCATTATTTCATATAATTGACCTCATTTTCTTCTAGTATCAAGCTCACATTTCCTCTGTGAAAACACTCCTTTACATTTGCCGGCTTGTTGTAATTTAGTCCGATCTCATTTGCCACGTCATGGTCAATACAACCTCAGTATGGCATTATTGTACAATCATTTACTTCCAGCTATATGTTCCTGTTACATATTACATATTTTAAGTGATCCCCTGCTGTCTGGTACGGTAGGATTGAAGCATTTTTACCTGGTTCGTTGTTCCTTTCTCATTCTTTTCTATTCTTTTGGGGGTTCCCTATACTAATCACAGCTCCACCAACCCCCTCAAATACGATGACTTTACGATGGGGTCTAATCGCCAAAGACTTTTACATTTCTCCTCTTCACTGAGCACATATCATCTAAATATATTTGTCCACTCCAAAATAAGGTCTTTCCTGATTGAAAGGTTGTGAGATGTAACAAGAAGCAGGATTGAATCAAAGTTGGCAGTTATCCTCAACAAAGTAGTTCAAACACAGCAGCTCTATTTCTCTGCTACAAAGGAAATATGACAGTAATGATCCCAGCACCATTGGTAAATACCCACACTGAAACAGCAGCTGCACTTTCCTTAAAAACACTAGGGGTGTCCTGCAGGTGTCGCTGTTGAAGCATTTTAATCACAATTTGAATGATGGATTTTCTCCAAAGCAGAGAGAAACCTTAATTCATGAATGATAATTGTTTGTTTGGTCAATATTTATTTCAACCAGTTACTCTTTTTATAGTTTTATTTCCCTCTTTCCTCTCAACAATAGAGGAGGACCAACCTCCCCTGCCTCTACGGACCAGCATCCTCTAGTGAACGTGTGTGTGTTTAAGGCCAATGTGTGTAATGTTAAAATAACATTATATTATGTTGTTTGATGACATCTTTTTATTTGTGTCTGGTGTCTTTTCTCTCTCTCTTTTTTATGTTCTATTATCTGTCAGACTCTGTCAGGCTGGTGGATGGGACTAGTCTGTGCTCAGGCAGACTGGAGGTGAAGTCTGACCAGTCTAACCAGTGGTGGTCCTCAGTGTGTGAAGATGACTTTGACCAGCAGGATGCAGAGGTGGTCTGTAGGGAGCTCGGCTGTGGGGCTCCTTCAGTCCTCCAGGGGGGCCTCTATGGAGAAGTGGAGGCTCCAATGTGGACCAAAGAGTTCCAGTGTGGAGGCCATGAGTCTGCTCTCCTGGACTGTAGAAGCTCAGGCTCAGCTAGAAACACCTGCTCACCTGGAAAAGCTGTTGGACTCACCTGCTCAGGTAGAAGAGGAGCTGCAGCTCTGATTGGTTCATTTCTGTTCTGATGAAACTCACTTTATTCTTTTACTGATGACTCTCTTGTTTCTGTTCAGAGTCTGAGGAGGTCAGGTTGGTGGGAGGAGACAGTCGCTGTGCAGGAACACTGGAGCTGAAACATAATGGAGACTGGAGACCAGTGATGGGCCGAGGCTGGACCCTGAAGGAAGCAAATGTTGTCTGTAGAAGTCTGGACTGTGGTTCTGCTGTTTCTGTAGTAGAGAGAAAGGAGTCTTCAGTCAGACCTGTGTGGTGGATCGACTCTGACTGTGTTCAGTCTGGATCTTCTCTGAGGGAGTGTGCAAGATCAGAATCCTCTTCCTCCATCCTGAATCTCACCTGTTCAGGTAAGCCCATCAGTGACATCATCAATGACATAATTAATGACAGTAATGTACCCACGTTGACACACACACACACACACACACACACACACACACACACACACACACACACACACACCTGTAGTGATCCCAGTTCACCTCCTGGGCTCTGCCGAGGTCTCTTGAGCAAGGCACTGAACCCCTAACTGCTTGGAGCAGCGACTGTGTGGCAGCCTCATCACTCTGACATCTGTCCACTAATGCATGTGTCCAGGTCCTGTGTGTGCATCAGTGGCTGCTGACTCAAACATTGTGGAGGACAGGAGGAAAACCAACCCACAGCATCGTGTTATTTTACACTAGTTGGCAGATTATCTCTACTTTCTTCTGTTCAATAACAATGAAACAGTAAATCAATGGCTTCCAAGAGTTCTTAAAAACAACATCATTGTATTCACTGCTGTTGTTTCCAGATGAACCCTACAGGCCTAATGCAGAAGACAGAGTATTTATCAAGGCTGTGAGATGTAACAAGAAGCAGCCAGTGTTCAACACCTGAAGGAAAGTGTGCTGACTGATGATGACTACTTGCTGCTTGAATCAAAGCTGGCCCCATTTCCAATCAGCCAGACGAAGCTTACTGTACTTTCACTTCCAATATTTTCTTCCCAACGATGCGTTATCACAAGTCCAGGTTCACCAGGGCTTTTTAAAGTAGTGTGTGCTTTGTATTCAGAGACAGCTGGCAGTTATCCTCAACAAAGTAGTTCAAACACAGCAGCTCTATTTCTCTGCTACAAAGGAAATATGACAGTAATGATCCCAGCACCATTGGTAAATACCCACACTGAAACAGCAGCTGCACTTTCCTTAAAAACACTAGGGGTGTCCTGCAGGTGTCGCTGTTGAAGCATTTTAATCACAATTTGAATGATGGATTTTCTCCAAAGCAGAGAGAAACCTTAATTCATGAATGATAATTGTTTGTTTGGTCATTATTTATTTCAACCAGTTACTCTTTTTATAGTTTTATTTCCCTCTTTCCTCTCAACAATAGAGGAACAACCTGTGTGTTTTTCATGTGTGTGTATTTCAGGCCAATGTTTGTGTGAAACGTAAAAATAAGAATAGTGTAAAAATCTAATTTCCCTGAAACAGATTAATTAACTTCTTTTTCAAGTTCTTTTTCTGGATCGTTATCTAAACAGATTTTTATTCTGGGTTAGAGATCTTCTCAGTCTTTTCTCTCTCTATTGTATCTTCTATTATCTGTCCAGACTCTGTCAGGCTGGTGGATGGGACTAGTCTGTGCTCAGGCAGACTGGAGGTGAAGTCTGACCAGTCTAACCAGTGGTGGTCCTCAGTGTGTGAAGATGACTTTGACCAGCAGGATGCAGAGGTGGTCTGTAGGGAGCTCGGCTGTGGGGCTCCTTCAGTCCTCCAGGGGGCGCTCTATGGAGAAGTGGAGGCTCCAATGTGGACCAAAGAGTTCCAGTGTGGAGGCCATGAGTCTGCTCTCCTGGACTGTAGAAGCTCAGGCTCAGCTAGAAACACCTGCTCACCTGGAAAAGCTGTTGGACTCACCTGCTCAGGTAGAAGAGGAGCTGCAGCTCTGATTGGTTCATTTCTGTTCTGATGAAACTCACTTTATTCTTTTACTGATGACTCTCTTGTTTCTGTTCAGAATCTGAGGAGGACAGGTTGGTGGGAGGAGACAGTCGCTGTGCAGGAACAGTGGAGCTGAAACATAATGGAGACTGGAGACCAGTGGGGGGCTTTGGCTGGACCCTGAAGGAAGCAAATGTTGTCTGTAGAAATCTGGACTGTGGTTCTGCTGTTTCTGTAGGAGAGAGAGAGGAGTCTTCAGACAGACCTGTGTGGGGGATCTACTCTAACTGTGTTCAGTCTGGATCTTCTCTGAGGGAGTGTGCAACATCAAGATCCTCTTTCTACATCCTGAATCTCACCTGTTCAGGTTAGCCCATCAATGACATCATCTAACCTCATATATGACATGAACATGACATCCTGATGTCAGAAGTGGGCTTGTCTCTGTCTGTCTGTCTGTCTTTCTGTCTGTCTGTCTGTCTGTCTGTCTCTCTCTCTCTCTGTTTACAGTCTGTCATCCGTCTGCTCCATGTCTCTTCCTGATATCAGTCCAGTGACATTCACATCATCAATGCGACCTTTCATCATCTCATCTCATTTACAGACCTGCTGGTTCGGCCCAACATCTCTGTGTCCTCCTCCACGTACGGGGTCTCTGAGGCCCAGCAGCAGGAGTTTCGGGTGCTCAGGGGCTCCAACTTCACCATCAGCTGCTCCATCCAGCCACAGTACCCAGGAGGCTCCTTCCAGCTCACCTTCACCTCCTCCAACACAACGCACAACTACACCCAGCCAGCTGTCAATCACTCTGCCCACTTCCTGTTTCCTGCTGCAGAGCCCGCCCACCAAGGAAACTACAGCTGTGTTTATCACGTCTATGTTTTCTCTCATAACTTCTCCTCTGAGAGCCGTCTGCTCTCTCTCACTGTCTCAGGTAAGCTGAAGCAGAGAAACTGTCTCACTGACTGTTTACATGCAGCTTTGGAAAGATGATCAGCTGACAACAGAGACTACTGTCATTGTGTTACACATGTCATATAGTGTCCAAACTTATATAAGTGTGTAAATGTCAACAGCAAACAACATACTGTAGGACAGATCATGTTTGGTTACTGACTGAGGTATTTCACTGTTCACCATATTTACAGAGTAAACACAATTTGCTGTGATTTAATTGCAATAAACGGATCAAAAAGATGCTGAAATAACTACATAAGCTCAAGTTATTTAGTCGGGTCTGTCTGCAAGACCACAAGCAAATAACTTTTGAAATGTTTGTTTTCTGAATGGAGTTTGGTTGATCGGGGCTATGCTAACTTAGTTTGGAGAACAATGCAGACAGGATGTGTGGTCAGATAACAGTTCACTGAACAGATTCTGGGAGAAAACACCTTGTGATGTGATGACTGTCCATGTGTTTGATCAGATCCATCAGTTCATCATCACTTCATCAGAGTGGTCCTCCTGCTGCTGACTCTGCTGTTGGTGAACACTGCCCTCTGTTGCTGCTGTAAGGTACTGACACTGTCTGTTGTTTAGAGGACTGACTGAAATGAAGCACTCTGTCTGTTTATTGAACTGAAGAGGGGACTCATGCTGTCGTGTCTCTCCAGGCCTGCAGGGGGCAGAAGCCGGGCAGACAGGAGAACATTGAGCTGGATGATTATAACCTGGGTGTTCCTGCAGCTGGAGGAGGGCCGACTGAAGAGGAAGGAGCTCAGGGAGCAGAGTAGGTCCTCCAAGGAGCTCCTCTCACATCCACATGGATTTCACAGCTGACACACAGCCATCAGCTCAGTCAAGGATTTTACATTTTTATCCTCATGTTGGCTGGAATTATTATATCACATTATATTTTTATTACTCTGAGCATGAAAAGACCAAAACCAACCCTGTTTGTTCCTATTGAAGACGTAACTCTTTAAAAACACCTCACAAATATTGAAAGCAGAGATACTGAGCTCTCGGGCTGTAAAGATTTACACATTCAGAAATCAGTTTTAACGTTATAGATTCGACGACATCGGTACGCGGACCCCTGGATCGATCTGAATGTACCATGAACCGGTCGATGGTCCGATTCTAAAGTTATGAAGACCCAGGCTGGTCGGGGGTTTGGGAGTCATTTTGGAACAATGTTGGCCCAGTGATGTTATCTATTCAGTTAAAGTCAAAGTGAAACACTGTCATATATCCTCTGAATCTGGTGTTACAATACTCGATCACATTTGGTGACGTTTGAACAACTGAATCCTGAGATAAGAGCAGAAACCTGTTCAGGACCACCTGCTGTTGGATCTGTAGATCTGGACCACATCCAGGGTTGGTGGAACAAATCTGCTGCGATTGGGAGAATCTGTTTAAAAAGATTACAGTGAATTAACAAAGTCATGTAGTTAGAGAACAGAGAACAATATTAAAGGTCAGAGGCTGTTTGACACCACTTTCATCCTGTTAATGAGATATCAACTTTATAACTTTACTTTAGCGCTCCCTTGTGGTTGACATGGGTTTTTATTTTATCTTGTGAGCAAGATTTCGTCCTCCAGGACTTTGAAAATGTCATATTTGTATCGTAGATGGTTCAACAGCAGGACCACATTCAGCTCAAATCTGGGAAAAATAATCAGAATAATTCAAATGAGAGCAAAAATATGAGTTGTTAAAACTTATTTGGTCTTTAAATCGAGAACTTTCATTATTTTTATACAGTAATTAAGAATCTTACTTCATTTTGTTTCAGGATTTTACTTATTTTCAGAAAGATTTTGGTTATTTTTTTAACATTAAGGATTTTTGTCTAATTTTAGTAATCAAGGATTTTTTTTATTTTTTACATTTAAGGATTTTGTTTATTTCATGAACTTAATTTTTTTTTTTTTACAGGATTTAGCTTATTTTGTACCAGTGTTACTTAATTGTTTGATTAAGAATTTTGCTTACATTTATAATTAAGGATTTTTGCTAATTTTTTACAGTTACAGATTTGCTTATTTCTTACCAATTCATCTTGATTCTATGTTGTATGAATTTAACCAACTTTTGTAGATAATGATTTTGCTTACTTTTGTAATTACAGATTTTGTTTATTTTGTATGAATTTTACTAAATGTTGTGATCAGGGATTTTGTTTATTTGGTACAAATGTAGTTTAAAGGTCCAGAGTGAAACATTGAGGAGGATCTATTGTCACAAATGGAATATAATATTCATCGGTATGTTTTCATCAGTGTTTAATCACCTGAAAATAAGAATCGTTGTGCTTTTGTTACCTTAGAATGAGACGTTTTTATCTACAGAGGGAGCGGGTCCTCTTCTGGCGGAGTCCGCCATGTTCCTACGGTAGCCCAGAACGTACAAACCAAACACTGACTCTCGATAGGAGAGTTTGCATTGTTTCCAGCCAACGTAGGTTCCCCTACACACTTGGAAGGCAAGCTGTATTCAGTTGGTTGCATTCTCCAACTTCACCATTAGATGTCACTAAATCCCTTCACACTGGACCTTTAAGGATGTTGCTCATTTCATTAGAGTTTTACTGTGATTAAAGCTCGGGTAGATAACGTTAGACAAAGATCCACGTGAAAACATAAATCCCACCTGTTCCCTTCAGGCCTCCCTCCAAAACCACTCCCTGAAAACACATGAACACATAGTGGCCGACTGCTGCATCATTAACAATCATTTCATTCAGACTGAATCCAATCACTGGCTGAGCTCATTACAGCAGCCACAGAGACCAGATTGTCTCTCAGAGCATTTTATTGATTCATTGTTGTCGGGATGTAAAAAGAATTTCAACAAATACAACAAAAAGATTCCTCTGAAATACCTACCCTAGCTTTAAGGATGTTGGTTAGTTTTACAATTAAGAATTTTACTTATTTTGTGTGAATTTTGTTTGTGTTTGTTTATTTTACTTATTTCAGATCAGTTTTGTTTACGTTCATAATTAAGGATTTTGCTTATTTTTGCCTATTTTGTATGGAGGCCCTTAGGGGGACATGGGTTTAGTTTTGTGTCCCTGTGATAAATATTTGGAGTGTAAACTTTAAGGAGTTATATCAAATACTTGGTACCATTTGATTCAACTTCAGTTAAAGCTGTAGTCCGTGTACGTCGGGGAGTGCCGCGGCCGCATTATGAGCCAGTATATCACACGTAAATCAGATGAAGATTGCCATAGAATTTCATTCCAACAGCCGCGTTAGCTAACCGTACTTCTCTGTCACTGAGAGCTTGTTTGACAGCCTGGTGGTAGCAACTGTGCATGAGCACCTGTTGTGGCGAATTAACACATGGCTCATTTGAATATTAAAATAAGCCATGTGTTGATAGGTCACTACACGAAAATGTAACCAATATAATTACTTATTTTGACAGCCTAAACCCGGACAAATGGCCACCCTATTTCCTAGTATCGATACAATCGATTGATTACCTTTTAAAACGATGTTATAGCTGGATCATAAGAATATAAATCGATACATCGATGTAGTAGATGAATCGTTACACCCCTAACGTTAACATAACTTGAATTCAACCCAACTCAAAACTCAATTGTTGAATAACTCAACTGGTTTAAGGGAACTTTTTGTGCAGTATTTCAAGTATTGGTCACATAATTCCAGTTTGTTCCACTGACTCATTTTCTTTAAGTTGTCTTTATATAAAACAAAAATGTAGTATAGCTTAGTATTTTTACATTTTGTGATTTGACCATTTGGAGAATCAATTCATTGTAGATTTTGTATTGTACATCAGCTGTTTGGAGAGTTGCTGCATATGAGTGTAATATACTTACTAGTTTTAATGGAATTGGTACAGTTAACTTCATTTACCCAAGTTATCTTCACAATAAATACTTGAGTCAAATCAAATATTGTTAATGCTTCAACTGTTTGAGTTAATAGACTTAAATGATTAAAGGCAGTCGGTGTCCTCAAACAGTTTGAGTTGAACTAACTCATTATGTTTTACAGTGAGACTAAATATAATATGATAAGAAAAACTCTTTCCAGCCAAACAGTTCGACCCGTGTTGAATATTTCTTCAGATTTTCTGCTCAGGCGAGCCCAGAGAACACTTCCACCAAAGGAAATTCAAAGTTTTAGTTGTGGGCACAAATGTGTTAATGATTCATGAGTGCACTCTGGATGTATTAACACTTTACAAACACTAGATGGCGGCAGTGTCCAAGAGTTGAGCAATAAGGGACACTTTAATTTATCTTCCTCATTTAAACTTTGACATTATTTCTTTTTTAAAACACAGATTTCTTGTCTTTCTTTAGAGTAACTGTAGTTAATACTCTAAAGTAATGACTGCACCATCCTAAAAGAGGAGTGAAGAAAGCAGAGTGAGATAAGGACGGAGGTTTTTATGGACACACTCTCTCTGCATGAATGTTCAAGGAATAATAGATAGATATGTCAGAAATATATCACCATCAATTATCAGCTGCTTAAAAAGTCAACAGTAAAAACATGTTTTATCTGCAATAAAATGATATTTGGTCTAAAATGTTGCCTATAATTTACATTATTCTACTTTTACCCCGGAGCTGTGGGTCCCTGTGGACCCCTCATTTCTCCCTCTCTCATGTATTATTTAGGGATTAGTTTGGTCAACAAACTAACCTGAAGTCCAAAAACAGTAAAGTGCAGAGTAATGTGTATGAATATAAAGGGGTAGATATGAATATGCTGTATAGAGTATGAACATGTGCAGCAGCACGTAAACACAACATAAACTGAACTAATAAACCTTAAACTAGATTTGAACTCTTTAAACAGGAGCTCAAAGATGATGTAATAACACAGGAGTCCCCTCAGGGCCTCTCAGTTCACTATATTGTGCACACACTGTTCACTAACACATATGCAGTTCATCCAATTACCACAGACTAATTGCCACATAGTAAACCCGGAGCCTTCGGAGCCCCTGAAGGTCTGAGGACCCAGTTGGTGATTCAGCTCCTATTTTACTTGATCCACAAATGTGACTTTTAAAGGACTTTAGTTCCACTGTAGAAAAGTTTTTAAGGACTCAAGAAGTTAAAAAGAAACTTTACAGTACATCAGCACCAAAGTCTTTTCACAATAAACTCCCCCACAACAATGTGAGGAGCAGATTTCCAACTCAGTCCCTCCATCCAGTGCACCTCGTGGTGGCGCGCCTTGCTGCGGGGATTTACTCTCGTTACTGTAATTGAGTCGTTTTTTGAGTAATTTTTAAAATCAGTCATTATACTTTTACTTAAGTACATATTGTTGGAAGTAATTTACTTCACTACATTTTAAATAGCTTCCGTTACAAAGTAAAAATAAATAGATGAACTTGCACTGCGTCTGCGTGCCAGTAACGGTCCATCTGATTGGCTCTGGACAACTGCAGCGCCAGAAGGTCAGAAAGGTCGAGACATTGGTGCCACAGAGGAGCTAGCTAAAAGATGATGGAGACGGATGGAGACAAGTGTATCGATGGAGAAGAGTAGAATTTGGGAGAACGTGAGGCCAATCCCTGGCCATACTTAAAGGACTTCTTTGAGTTCAAGTCTGCGATGACAACAATTTCATCATGCAATGTAAACTTTGTATCCCAAAAGAGACGCAGCTATCCACCTACAAAAACTCTGCTTCCAACCTGCACAAGCATGTACAGATAACATAACCTCACGTGAAGCTAAATAACGTTACATGCAATTAATCATGGATTCATGCAATTAATAACTTTACTCAATCATGGTATGGTAACGTCAGTGTTAGCAGCCAGCTTTATAGTGCTAGTTAACGTTAGCTAACTTGGTAGTAAGCTTCATTTTAAACAATCAGATTTGACTCATTCCTTAATGTCACACAAAATGATGCTAATATTGCTATGATATGTGTTGAAAATTGCTTATGAGTGTATTAACACATTGAAAAAGTTATTAAGTTTTGGCCAATAAAAACTCTTCTAGTGTTGTTCTAATATTGGGTCTCTTTAAAATGAAATGAAAGAGTATGGTCTAGACCTGCTCTATGTGTAAAGTGCCTTGAGATGACTGTTGTTGTGATTTGGCGCTCTATAAATAAAGATTGATTGATTGATTGATATATTGGTGAATGTTTTTCATTCAGTAATCTTATATGCAGGATAAAAGCAGCTGATCTGGGACCACACTTAAAGTCTGCCAGTGACCCATCCATGATATAGTCTACTCTTTCTACATGACACACTGAAAGCTATGAATGAATGTATTAATATGAAGAATATTTGAACTGTATGTTTAATGAAAACATGGTATTGATGATTTATGATGATGTTTTTTGTTCACAGAGGAAACATCCATCAAAGATGGAAGTCTACACTGACCTCGTGGCAGCACGGAGGCGGACCCTGCCACCAGAAAAAACCCCAAGCAAGCAAGAATATCTGACTTGGTGGCAGTGAGTGGAACCGAACGTGTGCCACAAGTTGACAAGGTTCTGATTAACTTCATTTCTTCACCTCACACACAGTTTGGAGAAGAGGAGTCTCCACTTCTTCAGCATAGAAGCAAAGCAGTGTCCTGCTGTGCACAGGGCCAGCAGCAAAACATGTTTGCCACCTTTAAGAAGGCTTAGTGCAATATCATACCTGCAACAAAATAATGAGCCTGTCTACATGAGTGTAGAGAATGTTTTGTAAGTCTGATATATTCTGTGTGTTTCTGTGTACTTGTCACTTAACACAGGTTTGGCCTATGTGAAGCATCACATTGAGCACATGACAGAGGATGAGATGGAGCACGTCGGCCACTCATCATCAAAAAGCTCTCTCTCAAACTCAACACTGGCCTGCCTGCTTCTGCTGCTTGTGAGCGCCTCTTCAGCTGTGCTGGACTGCCGTTCACTGCAAACCCAGCTAGAATGAACTCTACTAACTTTAAAAACCAGCTCCTGCTCAAACTAAACAGCAAGTTCATTGAGTAATTAAAATGAGGAACTGAAGCAGAGCAGGAGGAGAAAGAAACGGAGTAAAAAGTGCTTCAAACAATCCGTCAAAAATCCTAGAAGAAGAAAGAATTGACTTTTACTTTGAGATGGTTCCTCCAGAGATCTGTGATCTTTAGACTTGAGGTTCGACTGAGTGTTTCTGGAGTGTTTTCCAGATGTTTTCCAGATGTTTCTGTTGGTTATCAGTGAAAAGACACAGAGCTGACGACTTTCACTTCAACTGAGTTTTGTTAACATTTAATTTAACCTGTTGGTGCTGTTGCTGTGGAGCTCAGGTAGGACTCTGCTTTAAAGATGGTGAAATATTTGTGTTGGATGTTGGAGTAACATATTCATTCATTAGAAAAACAGATATCTCCATTTTGATTCTTGTGAGTGCAATCCAGGGATTATCAATCAAACTGCTGTTGGTTGATTCATTTCAAGAATGGCTTTAATCTGTTGTTGCAAATGAACTCTTCACACACACACACACACACACACACACACACACACACACACACACACACACACACACACACACACACACATCAATGCAAAGGAAGACAAAAAGGAAAACACTGTAAGATTGTACACAGTAAAGTTTTAATGTTTTAATTCTATTTTTAGTCAGTTATTATTATTTTCTTCAGCAACATAAATACTAGTAACAGAGTATTTGTACACAGTGGTATTAGTACTTTTACTGCAGTAAAAGATGTGAGTACTTCTTCCATCACTGCTCAACAGGAGAAAACTGATAAAGTGCAACAACTTAATGTTTCCTCAGAGTCACTTTTCCTCAGGTTTTCCTCTAATCGAAGCTTTCTGACTCTGCAGGGGTCAAAGGTCAACTTCACTAAATCATCATAACTAATAAATAAAAGCCAAATATTCAGACGGACAAGCAAACTGCTCACATGTGGTTTGGATCACCATAGCAACACACAGGAAGAGTGACGGCTCATTCTGCTCAGAAAGACCATAGATATTGATCTGCTGATTGGCAGCCAGATAGAGCGATCGGTTCCTGTACGCAGTTAAACAGTGGGTGGGACTATTAGCCTACATACAGAAAATAACATTAATAGAATTATAATCATGATGGTATTTTTAAATAATGTTTTACCAATCATAGAGACTTAATAGGCTTCTTTCTTTGACAGATTGAGTGTTTTCTTGTCTCTGACGCTCACTGCGCCGGCTTAGCAACAGTTGTCATGCAGTATCATTACACAGACGCACTCAACATGAGGAAGTTACACTCTGCTAGGATTTCACAACTTCACATAGATACACATCTTCTTCATGAGCACCAGAGCATTTAATACAACAGTCTCCATCCCAGAGCAGTGAGAGATTGGATGCTGCAGAACGGAGGGAACCTAAAACAACACACTGTGTTTTGTTCATTATTTTGTTCTTCCAAAACTCTCCCAGTGACTTTCCACACTTTTTATATTCAACTAAACAAAAAGTCACAATCCAAGTTTGCCATGTAGTTTTGCATTTGTAAGGATGGGACGCACTGATTTTATTTCTGTTATTTATTGCTTATTATTTTCTATACGACCTGACGTGTCTATGACCTCCACACACACAATATCAAAGTTAGACAAAAAGGAAAACATTGTAAAATTGTTCACAGTAAAGTTTGAATCCATCAGATTTCCATCAAATCAAAACCAGTTTTTGATTCTATTTTTAGTCATTTTTCCCTGCAACATCCAATAATAATAATAATAATAATAATAATAATAAATGATAATAATAATAATAATAATAATAATGACACTACACCATTATCAGACAGAGTCAGTCAGATATACTCCAGTAAAGCTCCACCTCTTTCTGTACGCAGACAGACACTGAGGACAGCACATGTGAGACATCAGAGCAGACAGCAGACAGACGGGCAGAGAGACGCTCTACCTGGACATGGATCACCTGTTGGTGCTGTTGCTGTTGCTGTGGAGCTCAGGTAGGACTCTGCTTTAAAGATGGTGAAATATTTGTGTCTCTCTCTCTCTCTCTCTCTCTCTCTCTCTCACACACACACACACACACACACACACACACACACACACACAGATTCAGATTCAGATTTTCATCAAATCAAACCCAGTTTTTAATGAACTTTTTAGTCAATGATTGTTTTTTAGTAATTATCTCTCTGCAATAATTCAGTGGTGTCAGAAGGTGTGTGTAGCTGTGTGTGCGTACTGTCACTGGGAAGTTGTTGCTGAGATATTGACGTTTGTTTTGTTTTTGTTTGTGCGTCTGTGGGGTCAAAGGTCAACTTCACTAAATCATCAGAACTAATAAATATCAGGTAATTAGTGAACACATGTCACATGTCCTGACGCTGACAGCATTAATGTGATAGTAAGAGCTCAGCGTGCTAACGGAACCACAGTCCTGTAATCTGTAATCTGTCAGCAGATTCTGATCAAATGAACATTTATCAGAGGGACAGTGTTTCACAGAAATGCACTTCAGAGAGTTTAACTGCAGGATGTCAACATCACCTTTAATGGACCCATACAAAGAAAGACAACTACTGTGTTGGTGCAATTCATTAAAGTTTGCCTATCAAAAGTGTAAACGATCGATCGACTGTCCTCTTTTCAAAATGCTGCTTCATACTGATGAGTATTTTCTGGTTTTCTCCTCAGCACTGCAGACTGAAGGAACACCCAACTCAGCAGGTAAATAGAGAAAGAAAAGAGAAGTAAAGAATCGTCTTTGTGTGGAGAGCAAAGATTGTGGAGTACCTGAGCAGAAGGAACAGAATAGATGAATCTGCAGATGATGATGTTGTTTTATTGTTTGAAAGTGTTTAAAAATGGATACCAAGTGTTCCAGTGTATTCAGTGTCAGTGTATTGGGAGCTGTTGGACTCACCTGCTCAGGTATAAGAGGAGCTGCAGCTCTGATTGGTTCATTTCTGTTCTGATGAAACTCACTTTATTCTTTTACTGATGACTCTCTTGTTTCTGTTCAGAGTCTGAGGAGGTCAGGTTGGTGGGAGGAGACAGTCGCTGTGCAGGAACACTGGAGGTGAAAAATGATGGAGACTGGAGACCAGTGGATGGCTTCAGCTGGACCCTGAAGGAAGCAAATGTTGTCTGTAGAAATCTGGACTGTGGTTCTGCTGTTTCTGTAGTAGAGAGAAAGGAGTCTTCAGGCAGACCTATGTGGTGGATCGACTCTGACTGTGTTCAGTCTGGATCTTCTCTGAGGGAGTGTGCAAGATCAGTTTCCTCTTCCTCCATCCTGAATCTCACCTGTTCAGGTAAGCCCATCAGTGACATCATCAATGACATAATTAATGACAATAACATGTTGACACACACACACACACACACACACACACACACACACACACACACACACACCTGCAGTGATCCCAGTTCACCTCCTGGGCTCTGCCGAGGTCTCTTGAGCAAGGCACTGAAGCCCTAACTGCTTGGAGCAGCGACTGTGTGGCAGCCTCATCACTCTGACATCTGTCCACTAATGCATGTGTCCAGGTCCTGTGTGTGCATCAGTGGCTGCTGACTCAAACATTGTGGAGGACAGGAGGAAAACCAACCCACAGCATCGTGTTATTTTACACTAGTTGGCAGATTATCTCTACTTTCTTCTGTTCAATAACAATGAAACAGTAAATCAATGGCTTCCAAGAGTTCTTAAAAACAACATCATTGTATTCACTGCTGTTGTTTCCAGATGAACCCTACAGGCCTAATGAAGCTCAGTGTAAGTTCAATCAGGAAGACCTTCTCATTATGCCTCATTCATTCACAATTCTCTCCCTCTCTTTTCTAATCAGCCATGGCCGTTTACTCTTTCAGTTAATCCAATCAGATTTAGCCACAATCTCCTCCAGCCAATCATGTTGCTGCTGTTAAACTTTAAATCTGGTCTTTTCTCTGCTGCTTTCAGCTGTCATTTCTGTGCAAATGTGATTTGGATTCTTCAGCTCAATTCATATTCAATGTTAAGATAACGACGGAGAGAGGCTGATCAAACCACTACTGCACCACATCAAGTCTATATTTTAGCAGTGGGCCCAGTCATGGTCCTGTGTCGGTATGTTTTGTTGCCTTAAATCTTCCATCGTGTATCAATGCCAGTATACCACCAACAAACAAATCACAGCAATATGTTTTCACTTCTGAAATTTTCACCGTGCATCAATACCAGTAGCCTACAAAACCAGATCAACACAGTCAGGTACAAGCTGTCCTCGCATACCGATCAGTTCCCAGAAAATTCCTCAATGTCTCCAATCAGCGTCCCTCGTCGCTGCCAAGTCTACATGCAGCTGGCCTCTGTGTTCAGCAGGGCTTCACAGGGCGCTCCTCACCTTTCGTCTCTGTTGCAACAGCTCTCTGGTCTAATGAGGCACTGCTGGAGCAACATGGCATTCTGTACCTTTATGTGGCAAAACCACTTAAATTCAATGTTTTTTTAGCTTTATTTATTCAGGGAAGGTTCACTGAGAGGAAGCCACTGTTACACATTCATACTTGGAAGCTGCCCAGTACAAGCACAGCCACTGAGCAGCTGTACAGCAGCGTTTTGGGTTAAGGGTCTTGCTCAAGGGCACATCAGTGGTGGTATTGAGGGAGGGGCAAGTGCTGCTTCTTCACTTTCCCCACCCGCCTTTAGGCCACCGCTTTACAATTATTCACCAAAATGTATTTAAAGAAATAACAATTAGTTTACATCTTTTAACACTTTCAGTACCTTTTCATGCCACAGCAGACTGCAGGGGGAAAAACAGGTTGCACTACACAACTCCGCAGGGGCTCCATAAGGGAGGGCTACGGCATCAAATAAAGTTGAATAAATACAGAAAAACAAGTCCCCAACGTGGAATACAAAGAATGAGAAAATACATTGACAATAAAACAGTGATAATACTTAATAAAATACAGTTGTGAGTAATGGTAATGGCTACTGGAAGCATTCCACTCTGCTACACTGACAATCAGCTACGGGATTAAATGAACAAAATCACTCAAATAGATCCACTGTGAACTTGCCAATACACGCTGAAACGTCCTTGTGGCAAAATTAAAAAAGTTGAATGGAAGTGCTGTCCTAGTTCTTTGGTTCATGAAATTATTCCCAGGCCACACAGACCAATAATTGAATGGAAATTTACTAGTAGCCTATTTTATTTCAGTCAGCCCAACTCTCTATTTAAATCAAGATTTTGTGATCACTGATTTGCTGAAACATTTTCCTCTACCTTAAGCTTGTTACAATTATGTTCCCCTTTCTGTCAGCCATGATTTTGTGCCTTTAAAATTAAACAAAGGTCCACATTTATCACCTTAAGGACCTTTTTCGTGCCTTAGACGGGACTTTTGTAACAAATGTACCTTTGGGTACAGAAATGATTCCCCTATTTCTCTGTGTGCAGGACCTCGACCCAACAAACTCACTGTTTTCAGTTTGGCTGTCGGCAGGGGCGCCGCCAGGACCCCCTCTGCGCAGCTGTTGTCACCACATCTCTAGGACCTAACTGTCCCATCAAAAGCTTTACATAACTCTAGTTAAAGGCTTGCAACTGTCTTGCTTCTTGTAGTTCAATACTAGTACTAGCACAATATTTACTGCTGGTGATTTGTACATGCATGCAAGTCTGCATACAGTATGCAGTTCACTATTTGATGCAAGATTAAAAGCAACCATAAAAAATATGCTAAAGGACATCTTTTACAGTCTCAATGTATTTTTATTGTAAAATTTCAAAATGGAAAATTCTCTTAACGAAATGAATCATTAATTATTATTATCGTGAATTATTATTATAATTATTAATGAAAGATTTAAAAAAAGGAAACAAACAAACTTACATATATATTAACCTTTCAATCTAAATAAATTAACATCAACCTCTCAAAACAATGAAAACAGCAGATTCTTGAACTTAGCTGCTCATATATGCCAACAAGAAAATAAAGTTGACATGTAAAATTAGATTTCCACACCAGGGTTATTATAGTGACACAAAACAGATCAAGTGATGACTAAATCAAAAGGTTTTGAGGTTTGGAATATGCTCATAACAAACTAACAGTACCAGTGACATCAAATTAAAAGGTATAAATAAGAACAAAGGACTCCTGGAAACCCAAACGTTTCTCTCAAATAACAGCTCAACACGTTTTTGGCAGTCCAGCCATACATCTTGTTTTCAGTTTTTAGGCTGTGGGCATTATGTCTGTAGTAATATCCAATCTCCACAGCCATGCCATTTGTCAGCTATCACTGGCCCTCGCTCAGCCTGACTCACCAAGAGCCCAGCACCGAGCCTTCCTGCTAGCAAAGTCACTGATAAGTCTTTGAAGTCGAGCTTTCTAGCCAACTGACTTTCAATGGACAACATGGCAAGACTGCAAAGTCTGTCCTGAGACATAGTGGACCTCAAACAGTTTATCAGTTTTAGCTTACTGAAAGCTCTCTCCCCACCAGCAACAGTCACAGGCAATGTACAAAATATACGTAAAGCAATGCAGACGTCTCCAAAAATGCTGTGTAGCTGCATCTTGTTAATTGTTATTTATTTCATAATGATCATTGTGTGAAAAAATAATTGTTATTAATGTGTTAGAATTTCTGTCATTAATAAACATTTTCTTTTTTGTAATGGTAAAAAGAGCAAGAGAGAAATCCCCACAGACTCCCTGCAATGATGCTAACTGGCCTGTCATTGAACACAATGTTGGTCACCTTCTTCACTGGGACAGGAGGGGTACAGTGATGGGGGGACTGGGAGGATACAGTGATGGGGTACAGTGATGGGGTGACAGGGAGGGGTACAGTGATGTGGTACAGTGATGGGGTACAGTGATGGGGAGACTGGGAGGGGTACAGTGATGGGGGGGCAGGGAGGGGTACAGTGATGTGGTACAGTGATGGGGTACAGTGATGGGGTACAGTGATGGGGGGGCAGGGAGGGGTACAGTGATGGGGGGACAGGACAGGTACAGTGATGGGGAGACTGGGGTGCTGCTGACTCATCTGTTATTAAGTCTGCTAAAAGTGCAGGGACAATGATTTAATATGAATATGTTGCTGAACGTTTCCCTGAACTGATTAATGGTGATTAAATGTAGGCTGACACTAGTCTGTAGCTGTATCTTATTTCACTATGGACATTAGGCCAACAGGTTAATACCACTCACAGACTATAGCCTCCTTTCTTGGTGAAACACTGGGTTACAGATTGACATCCTTTCCTTTGTCTTTCCTCTCTCTCTTTTCTCTCTTTCCTTTTTTGAAACCCAGATTTTGATTTACTAGTTAACATTGTGATCACTGTAGTTCTGGAGCATCTACTGACTGCAAACACCGTCACTGATAAGTGCCCTAAAGCAGGACCAAACCATTTAATGCAGATACAGGGGGTGGTTGGTCAATAAGGATGTTTACTTTTTGGTCAATGGGGATATTTAACTTTTACTGCCAAAAACAAGTAAGAACAAAGAGATCATTAGTTATATTATTATATTTGAAATATATATACTGAATGATGTTGGTTTAGTATTTTTTTTTTAAATTAATTAATTAAAAATTAGTTTTTACCTATTTCTTGGGGCCCCTGTCAGTCATGGGCCCTTGGAATTGTCCTAACTTTTACCCCCTATATGGCGCCCCTGGTTGTCGGATCCTCACTTTTGTTTGCCAT